GTCATCAATTTTATCTTCTGTTGGGGCGTGAACATTCATAACAATGGTATCACACCAGAGACCTTTTAGTATTATATATGATATCCTATCACTAACGAACTCTACCCTCTTTAACTGCTGATACGATTCTATGTACGAAAAAACCTGTACCTAATTCATGATTTTCATTCCCCTTTCCATAGAAAAATGTATAGTCTCCTGCTGGTGCGATGCCACCTCCATCCCATCTGACCTCCTGTACTCCCGCTAAATCTAACTTATATTTTAAGATTTGTTCTGCCACTGCCCTGAGCGAACCTGCCCTATACAAACTCTGTACATTCCAAGTGCCAAATCTCATACCCATTTTCATTAGCTTAAGTCGTTTATCCAAGGAATCAGTCCAGGTCCGAGGCTTTGCGTTCATTTTCATAACATAATGATTTTTACGGTGAGGAGTTGTTAGGCCTATGCCCAACCCCCAAGCTGGAGGGCCGCCCCTTGTCAGCTGTCCGCGACTGCTTATTCAATATATTCACAGCTTCCCTCCAAAACTGGAGGGCATCTCCTCCATCAGCGACCTGAGGACGTGCCATGCCGTGGTGACAGGGATCCACATAACATGGACTTTTCACACTGGATTACAGAAATGTTTTCCAAAATGTAACATCATCTTCATTTCCTGTAAATATCTGGATGCTTCTTGTGGTAAATAATATCATTTAAGGATTCAAGGGCCACATATCATTCAAAACTATAATCCAATTTCCATCATCCAGCACAGGCCAATCTTGGACATTTTCTTGTATGGTTTCAGTCTCTCAGCTGCCCTCAACACAGTGAGAGTGTCCTCTTGCTCCTAAATCCCATGTGTCTTTTAAAAGTATGTACCCAACTGTGAACAGAACTTATCATATTTTGATCTACATTATCTAACATCCAGATTAAATGTAAACAGATTAGCGAGGGTTCACTCTACATTAAAACACATTACAAAAGGTAAAGCTATCCCTCTAACAGGCTGTTGAGGCTTCCACATTTTCAAGACAGTCAGCTCACAGATGGCAGGGAGGTTGTCAGCCTTACGCACTGGCTGCCCTCTACCCCCTGGAAGACTCCTAGTACTCATTTCTGTTAGAGGTTGAGTCAATCCCAGGGCCAGAATACGGCTGGAAGGATCAGGTCAATTGAAAAAGCCTTCCAGCTTGTAGCATACCTCCACCAACTATGCCACCGTGTGCCCCCAAATTACTATAAGCTAACAATTTTTTAAATTTAATATCAATAAAATTTAAAATCCAGAATTTGTCATACTGCAAACACACACATACACTATATCTGAGCATGACAAAATACCAAACTTTTGGATCTCCCTCAATATTCAATAATGATGGAGGGAAAAAAAGGTACTATAAACAGGTACTGTAGAGAGCTTACCATCCCTGTACTGTAAAATGGATTTTTCTGCATCCTAATAATTGTATTTCCTTCAGCACTTAACAAAGAAAATAAGCATCTCTTGAAAAAGGATACGGATTACAAAACATCTTCTTTAAATCCACCTTCTCTTTGCAATATGGACATGTCTGTTTCTTACCCACAATGCACCATCCTCGAATACAAAATTCGTGAAATCTGATAACAGTGTTAAGAAACTATGCACAACAGTTACACAGCAGTACATTCTAACACATAAAATAATACAAAAAACAAAAACCTGGCTGAATAATATACAGGAGTTGGACAAAATAACAGAAACACTACTACTGTACACATTTCTTTACTAATATGGTGTTAGACTACCTTTGCTTCAATACAGCCGCAATCCATCTTGGAATGGACTCATACAAGTTTTGAACAGTCTCTAGCAGAATTTTATACCGTTCTTCTGAAGAACATGTTCAAGTTGCTTTAGAGATGCTGGAGGCGAGAATCCGTTCCTCACTTTAGTCTTCAAAACTGACCAGAGTGGCTCACTAATGTTCAGATTTTGTGACTGTGCTGGCCAGGAAAGATGTTGAAGTTCACCTTCATGCTCTTCAAACCATGACTAAACAGTTCCAGCTATGTAAATAGGGGCACGGTCATCTTAGAAAACTGCAGTTGTTCGGAAATAACATCTGGATCATGGGATGCACCTGATTACCCAACCTGTCCATGCGCTCCCTTGCAGTAATTTGGCCATGAAGGTTACTAATGGGAAAAGCTGAACATTGTACCATGATATTGCTGCCCACAACATCACAAAATCTGCCCCGTGTTTCACTGTTGGATCCAGCCATTCCAGATTATAGGCCTTCTTGGGTGTTCTCCAGGCATACACTCTTTGTGATGTAGGGAACAGCATGAAGGACATGACTCATCTGACCATGTCCAGGTTGTATAGTCATAACATGATCGTTTACGCATCTGAGCATTATTTTCAGTAATCAGAATTTTGGCAACTGCAGCCCTGCCATAGATGTTGGATTTGTGAAGCTCACATCAGATAGTTTTTGTGGAAACAGGGTCTTCAAGATGAACATTCAGTTCTGCTGTCACCTGTGCTGCAGTAGTTGTGTGATTCTGCAAACAATCCTCCTCAATGTATGACGACCTCTTTCTTTCAATGTTGATTTTCACCCACTGTTCCTCTTCACTGATGTTGTCTTCCCATGATTTGTGTATGCCATCACAACCTTAGAAATTGTTGCTCTCGATACATATAACAATATGGCTGTCTTTTCAAAGATGCTTCAATTAATGAGCACCAACGATCTGTCCTCTTTCAAAATATGACAAGTCTCCCATTTCCCGATTCTTTCACACAGCCCATCACTCAACAGAATAATTAATGCAATAACATGACCACTACAGAGTGTAAACAAATGGAAGAACATTCAGTGTTGCAATTTAGCAAACACAAACAAATTCTATTCCTCAATCTCTTAATGTTTCCATTATATTGTCCACACCCTGTAAATAAGCTGAGAAGAAAAGACAACTTAACAGCAAAAAACGAATATATTGTCACGTGTTGGGTATGTCACCTCACGCCATCAAGGATGTAGCGAATATTTATTGTGCTTCGCTTCTACACTAACACACTTTGCAATTATTATCACTTGCAGTATCACAATTACTGTTTCCACTATATCTCGGCAAATACTAGGCTTCAACGGCCATCGACGGTGACTCTCTTACGACTGACTCTTTACCGTGGAAGTGCATTATTACTGCTGGTTCAACAATCTGTTGCTTAGGAAATGCATTTTTCTGCTGTTTCAATAATCCGTTGCTTCAGAAGTGTAATATTTCCAGCTGTTACACAATGCTTTCAACAATTTGTTGTAACCATAGAGACTCATTGTTGAATTATGATATTGCATTGTAGCAAGAACATGGATCATTGCCTACGAAGTGATGGTTTAGATATGCACATTACAATATTTTAGAGCATTAATCTTGCTTCATACTACATATTTATGCAGAACCATTAAATTCCTTCATATAGGAAAGTTACTCTCCTATCATATCCTGTCAAATCATTTTTCATAGATTAATGTTTCAGGATTCAAAAATATATTGCAGTCTCTGTGCTTGGAAATTCTAGCTTCTTCTTAATATTACACTTCTAATGAATTACTTAATAATGATAAATCATGCAACTCTCTATAATTTCACTTGATGTTGTCCCAAGTGGTTCAAATTTCTGTAAAATGTTGAGATAATATACCATTATTCTTTAAAAGGATGCCACAGAACTTTGCCAATACCGCCAAAAGAAAAACATCATATGTCTCATTCAGCATTAAAATAACACAATAATGAAATCTTAAAAGAAACATGGACATTAACACTGGGGAAAAATAAATGCTTCAGAGATGCATAAATATAAAAAGGACTGAATTCAACTAGAAACATAAAAAAGTAACAGTCTATAATGTCTAAAAATGAATCAAGAAAATCTATAGTCTTCAGGATTAAAAAAATGTACCCTACTAATCATGAGTACTTTTAATTCTACCAACTCTGTTTTATTAAACCAAATACTCCGTTTTTTAAGGTAAAAATACATAAAACTACCCCTCTCAACAGGCTGTAGAGCCCCCCACATTTTCTAGACAGTCGGCTCACAGATGGAGACGAGGCTGTCAGCCTTACATGCTGGCTGGTCACCCTTTACCCCCAACAAGATTCCTGGTACTCATTTCTGTTACAAGCTGAGTTGACCCCAGGGCCATAGTGCGACTAGAAGAATGACGTCAAGTGAAAAATCCAGTGACTCATCGGGAATCAAACCCGCATGTAGCAGTGCCTCTATCACAATGCTAATTGTGATAAATGTAATAGAGGGAAATTAAATAGTTATATTAAGCTGGTAAATCAGTGCAATCTACAAAAACCAGTAAAGGAAAATTTGAAAGTAAATGGATTGGGCTTGTCTCTCCAAAGGTAGACCACATACCACTTAGAAACCAAAGAGAAAATTAAGTGGCCTTTTGTTGAAAATAACAAAAAATTTTGTTTATGTCAAAGTTTGGAACAAAGCAGAACTGTCATGTGACACAACTATGGTCTTTGAAGTGGTATACCTGAGCAGTCTGAGGAGACCCTGTGGAAATGTCTGACCTCAGAAAGTTAAGGCTTCTCAAAATGTATGTAAAAAGGAGAATACTTTTCTAAATAAAATGAAGGAAATCAACATTATCATACTTGCCAGAGAGAAAATGGTGAGTACCATTCCAACATGCCAAGATGCAGAATTAATTATCATTATTTCAATGACTGTATTGAATATTAACTCTGAAATTTCACAACTGTAGAATATTAATTCAGATAATGGCTTATTCATCATGTTTACCAACTATAGCTCCCTCAAATACTTTTGTTCCATGAAACAAATTCTAAGTGTGGCTTGGATAACAAAAACCAAAGATTCAACATCATTACTACCAAAGGCCACCAATGAATCTCCCATTTTAGCTATGTCCAGTCCTCCACAGCCCCCATGAGTTAACTACCCTCATAACACTATGTGAACATACAAACTATGGGTTCCTTATTATGTAATATATTCTATAAACTGCTTCCATTTAAATTTTGCTGTAGTTTTATTTTCCAGTCAAGCTTCAAATCAAGTGACTCTTATAGAGCTTTGGTCCGTACTGGTTATGTAAATCAAATTTAAAAGTTTGTGATGCTAACATATTAGTACAATTACTGACTTTACAGACATTACCCATCATTCTGTTTTTTATTTAAAACACTTCAGAGACTGGACTCTGACTGTCCTCACGTAAAAAGCCTACCTCAGTTCACCCTAACTGACAGAGTTAGGCCCTATCTCCAGACACTGGATGATGTCCAAAAAGTAAATAATTGTATTTATAGAGCTCATTATAATGTTGACATTCTGCCAACAGACAATTTCTGTTAAGGATACACATGATCACAAGAGAGCTTATATGTATTCTCCAAGACTCCTTCTTCATTCTCCTGAACCAGCAATTTGTTACCACATACAGCACACACGGCAGAATCAAGATGTCGTGTGGGCATGCCTTGATCCGTGTAGTACTACACCAATAACACAAATCATAATTAAAATACTATTCTAATGAGCTACTTGTGTGGAAATGGAATATTTGTGTAACATACCACATATTATATGTTTTGTAATAACTTTAATGGAAATACTCCACAACCTTTCATTTTTCATTCTGACTGACTGACCCATCTCCATTCACTTCAGACACCTTCCAAAATAAACCAAATTAGAGGACAGGGTAACAAAAACATGTACACTGGAAAAGACATAACACAATCCAAGAAAATTATATAAAATATCAAGTTCTTATAATATCAAGAATGCCAATCATTGGAGTATCATGCAAAATTAACCAAAGATAAAACTGCTAGTCTACTGTGCTCTGTAACTGAATACTGAGAAATTTTCACACTTTGACAACTGTCCAATGACAAAGCAGTGAAATCTGCAAATTCATGAATTTGTAACAAAGTTCTGGTACTTCTCCCTCACAACAAAAATTCAAACTGTATGGATGTGAGAAACTAGATTCAGTTTATAACGACAGCATGTTAAGTGACAAGTCTAAATGCATACATTCAAAATTAATTTGTACCATTCACTGGACACTACACTGTCTCAACTGCAGAGCTGTGTCCCCAGCACAAATACAAAATAAAGCAACAGCAATCCAAACAAGAAGGATATAAGCAACTGATTGATCAGTAATGGAATTGTGATGCAATTTTAGAACTGTGTAAGATTTGAGGCTTTCACGGTTGTGACTATGAAGAAAACAGTCTTCTGGGATATGGCACCGTGTATATGTGGTGTTAACCGACATTTCGGAGGAACGTATTGCCTCCATCTTCAGGGTAGAAGGAAAAATATAAGAAATCCGCAAGCGAAGAGACCATGAGAACTGGTAAAAGCAGACTGCTTTTACTGGTTCTCACGGTCTCTTTGCTTGCGGATTTCTTATATTTTTCCTTCTACCCTGAAGATGGAGGCGATACGTTCCTCCGAAACGTCGGTTAACACCATATATACACGGTGCCAAATAGACTGCTTTCTTCAATCTTAGAACTGTTTTCTCAAAAGAGGAACATTAACATGAGAAAATGAAGACGAAAAACAATGCTGCAACGATACATATCTATGTACTGCTCACACAGATCAATATAATAATCTCCCCCTACAGGACACATAAGTTATCTTATCATTCCAAAGATACAAAAATTTCAAAAGATTAGACATGTTTGTCTGACAAAAGCACCAATGGGCTGTGCGCTAAACTCACAGTCTGGATAATAAATCTTCATTCAACTCAATCACACATACAGCACAAATAAACTTCAGTCAAGACAATATGCTTACCCCAATATGTGATGCCATTTTGTCAGCGCATATTTCTGCTATATCTCGACCCAAGACTCCATAATACAGACCATAAAATAGGAAGAGCAATCCAAAATCCATCCACATATGTGGTTTGGCATCAAATACTACATTCAGTCCAAAAAATGTAGCCATCATGATGATATATCCTATCAGGCCCAGAGCATAGCTTAATTTGTAGATGAAGTAAAACCACTTGTAGACCAATCTGAAGGGAGACAAAAGTTAATCACTTCATTCTACACTGACAAATAATTTATTTCCTAAATACTGAAAGCACATTTGTAAGACCAAAACAGTTGTCATTATTTATGAATAATTATTAACAAACCTTGGGGTTGTACCTTCAATTGGTTTCTGAATGGCTTTTCTCACTACTAGACTAGTTATACAGGAAAACAGTAGCCATAAGAATATGAAACGCCACCACTGATTCTTCAGGCACAATAACAATGGAATAATCCACATACCAATAAGAGTAGAAAACTGGAAAGAAAGAGTGGCCAATAAATAATAGGAATAATTACAGTGTCATGCCCATTTAACATTTCATTTATGGAGCAAAATGCTTCACTCTTTAGTCTCTGCTGTCACTGAACATTGTGATCAAGCAATTATCATCCCCTGCTTCTTATTTGGGAGGTCCCACATTTGAGACTAGAGAATGAGAATCATGGGTGTGAAGCTTCATGCTTCCTCCCATAACCCCTCCAATCCATCATTCACTAATCACCCTGTCCTTCCATACTATATAATTTTAACAACTGAAAATATTATTAAAGAAAACATAAATAAATTAAAAAGTGCCTATACTCCCTGATTAATTATCTTGGTGTGTGAGCTATTATTCGTGTTTGTATTCAAATCCAGTGTCGCCCAGGAAAAATAATATTGTAACGTTCCCTGAAGTAAGTATGGAAATTTCACATTCCTCAAACTTAATGTCTGTGTCTAGTAAATAAAAGATAACATAAATTAATTTCAAAATTAAGAGGCCTCACAGATTGATGACATCTTCAGATTTCCTACTGAATGAGAATCCCCAATTCTCTTTTACAAAACTGCCTTAACATTCAAGTCACTAAATTACATACCTATACCCATGAAGGTATCAAAATTCTATCATGCTGTCATTTTTTGTAATTTATTCACCTGGACCTGTGTCTTCATTAACATATTCTCTCACACATGCAACCAACTGTACACAAGGCACTTTCAACCTGCAGTAATCGTCATGTACTTGAGACAAATTACATTAACAAATTCTACAGTGAAAACAAGAGTGCTACCTATTAATGTCAAAATTTAAATTCCCTAATAGCAGGAAACCTATTACACTTTAATACCAACTAGCCAGGCATACAACAAAAGTTACATGGTCATGTATGATACAAACTCCATGTGGCCATGCAATACTTACATAAAATAGTCTCTAGTTCATACATGAGTCTGACACAGAACTCGTGAACTATCTATAAAGACTGTTACACATTATGCCCTTTTGCTGACAGGACACCAAAACCTTTTGCTTACACATGAAGAAGTAACTGTACAGTAATTATGCTAACCTGACCATTTCATCTATGCCTACATAATTTAGTTTTGTTCAAACTTTTTTCTTTTATTGCTAGTGGGGTGGGACTAAGTCCCGTGTACTGCGGCCACTTCTGGCCTATTGTACCAGCCCCAGATGATAGGTGGATTGTGGAGCAATTGGTGGAATGAAGATTGGCAGGGGAAACCGAAGTACTTGGAGAAAACCTGCCCCAGTGACACTTTGTCCACCACAAATCCCATTTGACCAGACCCGGGATCAAACCTGGGCCACCGCAGTGGGAAGCCAGCAACTAACCGCCTGAGCTATGGCACGGCCCTTTTTTCAAACTTTGTTTCCATCATGAATCCTCTGTGCTTAAACTGGAAAATTTTCCAGAGGAACAGCCCTGTTTACTATTTCCAAACGACATAAAAATCTCACTTCCAGTGAATGACATATACCTTTACTTAAACTGTCATAGTACCAGTAACAAACAAGATACAGTCCTCATAAAACATGTTTCTGTATCTATATAAAATCTATTCCTGTAAAGGTTAATTTTCTTTTCTACACACCATATATGACCTGTAATGTCTCTTCTTCCATTCGACTAGAACAATTTGAGCCACAACCAATGTGACAAGAAGAATAAGAACCATTTCTGCGTGCATAGACTCATGACCCTTATGCTGCTCATGGAGCTTTATATGCTCCAGCCTGTAAATAAGACATTGGATTTGATAAAGGGCAATGAAATTATAATTATAAAACCATGAATATGCAGTTTTCAACTGTATATAAGTCAAAACATGTAGATCAACTTCTAATAAACCACTGATTTTTTCACCTGGAGTAAACAGCAATTGTTTCATCATCTCTTCAAAATATTGATTTAATTGCTTTGTTCAGGATGTTTTATATAGAAATATTCATTTCTATCTTTTTTATCTGTTTATTGTCATGCCATTACTTTAGTAAAAGATATTTCAACCAAGAAAAGTTGTACACATATTGTGTCCTTTATTTTGGGCTTTATCATCTAAGATGTTTTCAGTGTTGTTCCTGCCATGTTATCATGCTGTGCACAGATTAAATCTGTATAATTCTTCTAGATAGGTGAGGTATCTGATGGTCTTCTATTCTACTTTCTTCTTTCTTTCATTAGGTACTACTGTATGTTTGTGTGCGCGTGTTTTTTTCTGCATACGTACAAGGTGTGGCAATAAAGAAACCGGATTCATGCTCTCAGACAGTCGAAATGTTATCCCCTTCAATGTAGTCCCCTCCCCGATCCCTACACCGCTCCATGCGAATTTTCCACTGTTGGCAGAAGTGCTNGGAGGACGGCCCGATTTTGGATCGTTCCCGACGTTTTTCCTACCCTCCATAAACTTCTTAAACCACTCGAAAACTTGCGTGCGAGATAGACACTGATCACCATATACTTCTGTCAACAAATTGTAAGTTTCAGTGGCAGATTTTCCAAGTTTTGTGAGGAATTTGATGTTAGCACGTTGTTCTGCATTAGCACTCAGCATTATTCCGACGGAGCTCAGAAACACGATCCGCTTCTAACAATGGTCGCGGCCAGACTAACCGATGCACGTGAATGAAACTTTGTGTGACGGTAGAGGGAAGTCCAAGGGTCAATGCCCTACCCTCCTCTTCATCAATGACGTGGCCGGAAATGAGTCATAAAAGTAATCCGGGTTCTTTATTGCCACACCTTGTATGCACACCAGGCCTGTCTGTGTCTGTCCATTCCTCTCCATAATAACATTTTGATATGTGGATGAGTATTCATTATAGTAGGTACAAATGTCAATGGACACCCCACTTTTGCATGTTTTAATTTACTGCCATCAATAATATGAGAACAGTAACTGTTCACATATATATGGTCAGAGCAACACTAGCACAGTCTAACGTAGGGACCTGAAGTAAGCATATTTTGTTACCACTGAGTTTTATACAAAGTAAATCACAATATACTGGCCATGCAAAATATACATTTAGCTGTCTGACAATGATAATTAACAACCTTTTTACTATAGTATCTGTCAACAATATAAAAGACATTAAGAATATGTCATTCACTTAAAATGTATTTCAATACTATGACTGTTAAAATCATTAAAATGTCCATAGGACACTACAGGTATACCACCGGAAGACCACTACGGGCACACTAGCACAAGAAAACATGACAATAAAACTATATAATTTCAAAAACGCTTTGAAATCTTACCTACTCGATCATTATTTTTATAAAGTGGATGAGTTTCTCTCGTGTGAGACAAACACTAATCGATTTTATCACATAATTCATGAATAATTGGTTCTGGGAATCCCTACTGAGCAGCTTTCCTTTCTTTCTTCCAGCAACCAAGATAACACAGTGGGAGATGTACCTGAATGGGCTACTCTGGAGAGATTGCAGATGCCAAGAAGCTGCACCAGGAAGGGAGAACAGATGTAAAGAGGTGTTGCAGTGTAGAGTCTACAGTGAAACGTTATACCAGAGCTATCACCAAATTCACCAATATTATCTCAAAGGCCACGCCATAGCTTAAGCGGTTAGTCACTGGCTTCCCACCGCTGTGGTCTAGTCAAGTGGGATTTATGATGGACAAAGTGGTGCTGGGGCAGGTTTTCCCCAAGTACTTCGGTTTACCCTGCCAATCCTCATTCCATCAAATTCTCCATAAGCATTATCACCAGTACAGGTACAATAGGACATATGAAAGCCGATGTGCCGAGGGGACCTAATATGGATTCCACCTCACACTATATGAAATCTTAACTATTGTAATCTACTGTAATCTATTGTAAACAATTTTAAGTATTGTAACTTTATTCTCTTATTGTAATCAGCCAATGTACAGTAACTGACTTGTCCTATATCATGTAACAATGATCTATAGAGACAAAATAAATAAATAAATAAATAAATAAATATTAATGGCCGCAAAATAACTGCAAAAATACAACAACTAGCATGAACTAAAACTTTGACGTGCATGAATGAAGCTCAGAGAACAAGTACAGTGCAGTGGTCTCCCCAGAGAGTAGAATACACCTGATGATGGCCCACGTGAGGCTGAAACATGTAGTGAAAAACTAAAAAACTAAGAAAATACATGTAAGGTTAAGACAGTCCAACGAATTTTGACATCACTTTTTAGTTTATAAAGTTGCATACCTGTAATGTCCTATGGACATTTTAATGATTTTAATAGAGTATCGAAATACATTTTAAGTGAATGACATATTCTTAATGTCTTTTATATTGTTGTATTGTTGACAGATACTACAGCAAAAAGTCTGATACCTCAATACAACAGGATGCTAAAATATTATATAAGATAATTAGCAAAGCATCAAAGTTAGGCATATGAATTTGGTATGGAGACAGAGACAAATTTTATATGAAGTACACATCTATAGCTTAGAAATTATAAACACTGTAACAGTAAATATGATTGTGATTATGCCTGACAACTATCTGGTAGTGAACTCTACACTAGTGGAAACTATGCACATAGTTAGACCAAAAACTTGGAAATTTGTACCTCTGTATCTAGATGGAATCATTTAAAGCAAAGTAGGCATGTAAGTTCTTCCATGTTCCTATTACTCTTCATAATAATAATCATCCATGATTTTGAGACGTTTTGGTATATTCTTCTAAACTCAGAACATCAAACATCATTACTCTCAGCTAGGAGACCAGTTTTCTGGCTGGGTATTTTCTTCATACCTTTCTGGCAAATTCTGGGATAGCACCTTGAAATATGCAACCACCATTTCCTTCTACATCACTGCTAATTCACAAATCATCTTACTGTATGACATCACATAACCCATGAAGTTCATAAACATGTTATTAAGTAAATTAAAATAAATTATCTAATAGCTAAGCAATTTTGGTCTTCATATATTCCATTTTGATTTTGACACACCCAAAAATGGTAAATCTTAAAAACAGAAGAGAATATTTAAAGAAAACAAATGACCTCATCTTACCTTCTAGGACATGAAGCACACATACTTCTATCTTACTCTACTTATATAGTGGAACCCCTATTTAATGTTCTTTGGTTTAAGGCTTTCCCTCATTCAGTGTTCAATTTCAATGATCACAAATCAATAACTTCAATGTTAAATTACCTACAATCATAATTTTCCTCAATTTAGTGTTCAAATCCACTGGTCCCTAAAATTGGGCTTTTACTACAATTACTCTACAAATAATCACAGAATATGTAACATTCTTCAGTATACAGGTTACTGTTCATGTATATAAAATTTAATTGTACATTCATTACCAGTCATCCTCAAACTTCTATTTCTTCCGTTACTAATCTGTGAACATTTCAACAAACTAATGCTGAAACAAAACTATAAAAATGTCAACATTACAGATCCAGCTTCTAAATCTAGGACCATTATGCAAATACTTACCAGTCCCTTTCTACATATTGGTCCCATGCCATTATATCAGAAATTTTATTCTGCCACTATCTAGATCATTGAGCATTTTCCTCACACTAAATAACTAATTACTTAATGCTGATGGATATTGTAACAGACTATGTGAAAGTATCAAGGCAACTACTGTGTCAAAGAATGAAAGTGTTATGTATGTTAATTATATCAAATTACTGAGACTAATTATGATGTTCCTCTACTCACCTCCACTTTTCTTCTGGAGTAAGGTCTTCTATTGTCTAGAAAAAGATATTTAAATTATTATATGAAACAGTGAGTCATTTACATCAGGGATGTGTGAGGCATTTCAAATTGGTCACAACTTTCTTGTGAACTGGGTTCACATGGAATTTGAGCTGAAAATTAGAAGAAAAGTGACAAGTGTCACTAACCATCTGTAAATATGAAAAGAAAAACTGAAGCGTGGCCCAACAAATTTTCATGATATTTAATACTTGTGCTTCTTACTTCATTTTACACATACAATATGGATTCAGTATATGCTTGACAATCTGAATTTCCACATGATAACCCAAATTTAGACGAAGAAAATTGTTCTTGTTATATTTATAGTAAGAAAATGATACCCCACCAAACAGTCCAAGAGAACAGAAAGGCTTTAGTGGCAATGTACTCCCTCTCTCTCTCTCTCTCTCTCTCTTCTTTTCCCCTCCTCCTGAACAATCGCCCTCCCCAATTTTCTCCCCACCACTCTGCCTCCCTGATACTTCAGCCACAAAAGTTGAAGCTGCAGTTCTACCGCAAAATAAGATGTATAAATTGATGAAAGTTAACTCTTCATTACAGCTGTATGATAACAGATAAAATTAATTGCCTTCATGTTAAATAAAGAAGTGTCAAAGTAAGAGTCCTTAAAACATATTTAAATTGGAAAAATGACAAAATTATTGCCCCTTGCCTTTGAAACAGTGAAGTCCTTCCTATGACCCTTAACACATTATGCAAACAATTTTTAATGCCTTCCACAAATACACATATCAGTGACCAAGCTAAAAATAAAGTAGAGCTAACACAACCCCACTGAAAACACATAAATGAGAACACTGTGGAAATAAGTAGCTTTTATCTTATGTTCAAATTACTGAATCTTATGGCAACTTGTGATTGCAGCAAGTGAACTGAAAGCCTCGAAGGAAGGTAATGGCATGTTATAGGGAAGCACATGATGCCATCAAAACTGGATACATATATTCCAGAGTGAAGCTATATTTATGACGGTAGAATTACAAAACTGGGCATTCACACATCCCCAACATATGTATGTATATAAAATTTTCCTTAATGACATGACATGTCATTTGATAACACCTTATTCACACACTTCATACTATTCTTTACATACATTTCCACTGCTGTTAAAGAAGTAAAAACTTAATGCATCAAGCTCCCCACCTCTCAAGTCACTGGCACTCACAATTAACCATTTGCTACACTCACACAGTGTGTATCAAAAGTGTATCATAGGCTGGCATGTGAATTCATTAGGTCACACTGAAGCAGTAAGTTCCCAAAAACTTTCTATTAACCAACTCTCTGTGGTAATGACTGAGCAATCACACATATACTGCTAACTTCAAAGCACAGAGTCTTCATAAGAAGTTGATATTTACTCAGGTGATGAACAAATGCCCTGCTTTTAAGGAACTGAAAATCAATTACCATGTTCTCAAAAACCTAATACTGGATCCTTTTATACCTCAAATGATATTAAATGGTTTCAGTGAAGTTTCCTTGGGTGATCAGCAGCTGATGATGGAATCTGGGACAGCCTTCATAATTTCATCTTCATGTGGCTGACCACCCATGATGACTTTATTGTACAGTCACTGTCAAAGCTTCAAATCATATAATTTTGGTCATCAGTTCAATATAACCCCTACTTTGCATGATATAGAAATCAAGTCCTCAAAAATGGAATATGAAAAAAAAAAACTGTTATGTAACACAAGATACAGATTTGAGTTCTACAAGTTATATGATGTTCTTCAATATGATAAACATAACCTATCTGGATGGACACTCTCCTTGTGGGTGCTAATGTTTGCTTTCATCATTACCTGAATCATGAGGGGTGTAAAGAAACCAAAGCAGACCTATAAGTAATCTCACCGACCTTATCAGCTTATGTCATCTATCAATAAATCACTGGGTCATGATGCTGCCACATGCACACATTTGTTGAGTGTAAAATAATTAGCAAATACAAAGAAAAATAGTTTATTAATTTAAGCAATCAATATTGTAGTGTAATTTGCTTTTGCAGCAGTGTGTTTTTATCTGGAATAAATACATCAAGGCCAATAAGGTATGCAAAATTGCAAGACTGCTCCATAGAATGGAGTCTTAATAGTCACATCAGTTCCCTACATTTGTCAATCCACATGAGGCATTTCTCCAATTCCTGAAACAACATTCCATGTTATCAACCGCTGATTGTGCATCTCATCTTACAGAATTACTATGGAGAGGTCACCAGAAAATAATAATAAATTCATACATGAACTGTAATGCATGCATTAAGTCAAACAGAAACACCTGCACCATGAAAATGCTCCCAAAATGGGAAGAACCTGTAAAAGGTACAGCTATCCTTGTAACGGGCCATGGAGGCCCATAAGGTTGTGAGACGTACAGCGAGATTCTACAGATAATCAACCAAAAACATAAAGTGACCATAATCGACTGAGACGCGTTCACCGGCTACCAGTGCAGTCTCTTGAATTCACGTCTCGCTTTGTGACAAAACGTTTCGATTCACTCTGTGCATATTGTACCGCACACTATAACTCCTCAATCCAACATAACCCCACATATTCAAAATGTGCATGAACCTAACGAAGTCGGCACCAGTTCTCCTTCCTAAAGAATGCAGAAAATAATATTGATCATCCACACGCTGACAGACTATTCACTAATAAAGAATGAGCAAAATATCATTTTAAACACACACGAACAGTAAGTGTGGCAATACATGTTCATTTCAAACGACGATGAAGCATGGTAAACACAATAATTTTACACCAAGCAGTCACCTAAACCATGACACATAACAGGTGAAGTGCTTGACTGGGTCTTTCATTACCGACTATTCAGTTCACATATCACTCACTACTGAAAAAATTGAATGAGTTTATGGTACTTGCCTTATTCTCCTCCACCATGATCGCCATTTGTATGCAGTACCGTTAACGTGAAAACACAAAATCCAAGAACAATTCTGCTATTTATACACTGATCCGTGGTATAGTGGTAAAGCTATAACAATGAACACGATCAACACTGCTACCGCTACAACCTAAGGGCGAAGACACGCCAAGGAACCTAGCAACCGCAATTTCAGGCAATTGTTATCAGCCAGAATTGAACACATGTTACTGCATGAAGCGGCGCATATTGAGGAATCGACAACGCAGTTTCCTCAATTTTCGCTGCTCCCCTCAGTAACATTTGTTATACAGAGGCGGTAAACAATACTCGGAAATTGCGACTGCCAGTTTACTTTTTCTGCCCTCGATATAAATAACCGAATATTGCTAACCAACTTCGCTGTAAACAAGTTCCGCGGCAACGAATACGAGCTCGGCAATAGAGGAATTGTTGGAGAATAGACACACAATAGAAAAACCATGGAGATCGCGTACGAGGTAAAGGTAAATTTGTCCCTGTATTTTAAGTAATAGGCAGCGCCACAGCTCAAGCGGNGCACCTAAAATTGTCTCTCTTCCTTCTGTTCTAATGCTTCCCTTTCTGTGGCGCGTTTTGGTTAGCCGCGCTGTTTCATTTCGATTCTGCACCCGAATAAGCTTCAATATTCCAAAGTCACTGGCTGCCTTGTGAACATCTGTAAGGGCCTTCCTTTGAAAGGCGATAATGAAGTTCTTTTTTTATTGCTAGTGGGGTGGGACTAAGTCCCGTGTACTGCGGCCACTTCTGGCCTATTGTACCAGTCCCAGATGATAGGCGAGGGTGATTGTAGAGTAATTGGTGGAATGAAGATTGGCAGGGGAAACCTTAGTACTTGGGGAAAACTTGCCCCAGTGCCACTTTGTCCACCACAATCCCACTTGACCAGACCTGGGATCGAACCCGGGTCGCCGCGGTGGAAAGCCAACGACTAACAGCTTGAGCTATGGTGCGGCCGCTTAACTATGTAAGGAGCTGGGATGGCATAGTCGGTATAGACTGGTTATGGACTGGGCGACCGAGGGGTGGGAGTTCAAGTCCCTGTAGGATTAAGAATTCTTGCTTCCACATGTCGCCCAGACCTGCTCTGAGGCCCATCCAGTCTCCTATCCAATGGGTGCTGGGGGCTCTTTCCCGGGGGTAAAGCGGCCGTGACGTGCAGTTTACCACTCACGTCCAACTAGTGCCAAGGTCAAGAAAATGTGGATCTATAAATCCACTGCCCCATACACCTTCATGGTGTAAGGACAACTTTACCTTTTACACTAATTGAAAGGCTCAAATCTCATACAAGGTATTTTCTAACAAAATAATGGCATTTCGGTTGTAGAATGTTTAAAAATCTATTTATTTTGAATCACAGAAACAAAAAAAAATTCCACAATTTTTAAAATTTGAAAATAAGAGCAATGTAATATATTATCTGCATAATACTGTGGCATATAGACCTGTTGCTAGGCAAATACCACGAAACAAGCAATGAGTACAGCCGTTTAGAGGAAATAGTGTTTTCTATGTGGTCTGCGCCGAGGANGCCCCATACACCTTCATGGTGTAAGGACAACTTTACCTTTTACACTAATTGAAAGGCTCAAATCTCATACAAGGTATTTTCTAACAAAATAATGGCATTTCGGTTGTAGAATGTTTAAAAATCTATTTATTTTGAATCACAGAAACAAAAAAAAATTCCACAATTTTTAAAATTTGAAAATAAGAGCAATGTAATATATTATCTGCATAATACTGTGGCATATAGACCTGTTGCTAGGCAAATACCACAAAACAAGCAACGAGTACAGCCGTTTAGAGGAAATAGTGTTTTCTATGTGGTCTGCGCCGAGGAGTTGACAACAGCTCTGCACGGGCAGCTGTGACAAGTGGACCTGAGCACGGGAAGCTGAAGAATCTCCAATGTTAGAAGCTGGTGCAAGGAAATGGCTGGTTAAGACAGCAGCCTGGAAAAGACTTAGCAGATGTTGTGGTGATTTATAAGGCATGGAAATCAGCAATAGCTCTGTAATCGCTTGAAGTTATGAGTGGTGTATACAAGTGGTCAATAAATCCCTTCACCAATCCAAACTCCTGAAATCATGACACAATACTACACACACACACAGAGTGCATTTACATCACCTACATACACCCACCATCATTAGTGAGAAAGTATTAACTCAGTGTGTTCAAATTTCCCACAGGTTCATGAATACTGGGACACATCCTGGTTTGTCCTCTGCCGCAAGTTCAGCCAAAAACATTAATTCTGAGATAACATGAGAAATTTAAAGCTGACAGTATTGAAGAGATTACTACAGACACAAAAACCATGTACAACTGTGGTAGACACTTGACTGAAGACAGCACAGGATCAAAAATTTGCAGGACATGAGATCACAGGGCAATCATGACATTGGAAGGAGGATTTTTAGATGGGTACAGGCATAAAATTGCATATTTGGTGAAAATATGATGTTAAGTAGGCACAGCTGTGCTGTGCAACATATGCACAAAGATAAAATCTCTGCTGGTACTGGCTGTATTAATTTGTGTTTAAAATATTCAAATGCCATCTGAAAATTATTATTTTTGTGGTATTCTCTTATATCTTTTCAGTAAAGAAATGAAACATGACATTTCAGTTACATTTTACCATTACAAAGATATGACAGATTAGCTTCAGTTATTCCAGTGCTGGCTTACAGCTTATTTTTGGCTAGATAACGCTGAAAGTGTGGGGGGAACCATGTTTCTTCCAGATTCCAATCATACTTCCTGAACAGATTCAAATTTGCTGACAGGGTATGCCAGTTAATTTAGTTTTCATTGGGACTGTGTTTGATTTAGTAAGCATAAATAAAAAAATCTGCAATTTTCTTCTCAGTAGCTTAAGCACATGCAACTATAAAGGTGTTCTCATTGCTTTCTACAGATCCTGTTCCTACTAACTGGACTAATTAAGAGGAATTCCATTAGTCTATGCATATATGGTTGCAATGCATTAAAAGCACATACCTCTTTAAATTTTTTATGGTTGGCAGGATACTATTTTATGTTAGGTGTGACTTCTGGTTTATTCAACAATAATTTATCATCTACAGGGATTATACAGTGTTGAATGGGAAATGGGAAACAGACGGACAGTCATAAGCTACTTTAAGCAACTGCCTTTGTATTTTGTGTATTCTGTCTGGAGGAGCAGAAAGAACACAAAAATTAGGATAGTCAGTCTTCCTATCAAAATTGAGTCCAGAGGTGGGGTACTGTGTCAACTTCCATGCTTTGTTTGATGTAAAGGCTTAACATGTCATTACAGAATTCGGTCTACTTAAACACAAAGTTTAAATTTAAAAACATAAATAACAAGCCTTGTATTCAATTACAGGTTTCCAATAAATACTAGTAACTCACTTAACCTCACAAAAGGAAGATGTGTCATGTTAAGGTACAACTGAATAGCCAAGACATAGTTTATTGGACTACCCATTTAGCGTCCAGTATCTGATCGAATTACATTCCCATTCAATATCAGTATTTTGGTATCTCATTTTCACCACAAACTGTTTGAACTCATATTCACATACTTGTAGCAGTAAGAAGTAACATATTTAGAGATTCACACACACACTGCTCATAAATATAAAAGTGATATCCTTGTTAATATCCATTGGAACACCATGTCCTTAGTATCGGTATTTGGTAGAGTAGTCCTTCGGAGAAACAACCAAACCTCTTCCTTTGCGAGCCCCTCTGTATACTGTTTCAATTATATCAATCATCTCCTGCTTGTCTTCCAAAGGCCAATTAATTTTATTGTTGTTTCCTGTTCCCAGATCAATCATTATGTGTTTGTTTCGGAAGAAGAACATAACGGTACATGGATCATACAACTCATACCTGAAACACAGGATAGAAATGCACATTACTCAATTGCTGCAATTAGTAATACACCACATTTGAATTTTGTTTTAAGGAGACAGGGAGCATACAAGAAAACATGTGGAAGTTTGAAGGTGAAGCACTTCATACAGAAGAGGACTGGACACTTAGAAAAGCAAACTTATTTATTCCTTGCATGTTTTACTGGTGAAGAGGAATAAAATACATGAGAATAAAAATGTACCACACATGTATTAAAAACAAAAGTCCATTTATATATGAGACATTTCTTAGTAAATTGAGGGAGGCAATATATCACATAAGATACTAACATCTTTTCGTTTTCATGCAGTATATGCACCATGTTTTACCAGTCAAATTAATACCAATGTTAACCACTTAAGTGCTGACTTAAAATGCAGTTTGTGTCCTTTAACATATGGCATATATATTATTATCATTTAAAAACCTGTGACAAATACTTCCATATGGTTCTGGCATCTTCTGAGAAACATATGAACTATGTGCAAAAGCTATCACACAACCATGAAAAACACTGGGATAAACAAACACAGTACAGCACTGAGCCCTAAAGTTCTTCAGATATGCTAAGTAGGAACTGAGAGAGAATCAGTTATAGTAGTAACAGTGAAGGGGTTAAAGTAGGCCAATAGCATAGCACTGCTTGGTCAGATGAAGACAATGGAACTGTCATAATAAGAGGCAAAAAGAATAAATCTGTACACTGCAAAACTAACCATGCTTATGAACAGCAAATGGTGTAAAAAAAATGGATCATTACTTTTGGAGTGACCCTACATACACACATGAACAAATACACTCCCTTTCACATATTTGCAGACATATGAGGGAGAGTCAGTAAATGGATAACAAATGGAAGTAAAACAGCTGTAATGGATATAATAGGTTTTCTGTGTATGTCACTAGGTAGCAGCACAGTCCAGCCACATGACAGTTTAGCTAGCAGACATGCACATGTTCACAGGCTGGTTTCAATACTCAAAATGGCAACTGTGCTTGAGGATACTACTGAAGAGCAGCGTTATATTGTGTGTGCAGAGAGACTCAATGCAAAGGATATTCATGAAGAAATGTGCCTGACATGTAAAGTAGTTCACAGCTGGGTCAAGAAATTCTCTCAAGGACATTCAAAAGTTGCAGATGATGAAACATAAGTGCAGAAGTGGCTGAGACAATAGTCAATATACTGCAAGTTTTGATGTCCTGCTAAAGCGATGTGACAAGTGCAACAATGTTGGTGGAGGATATGTCAAGAAATAAAAGTTCCCCCCTCCCCCAAGTTTGAATATCACATGTTTTACATTTTACAGCCATTTGTGACCTATTTAATGACTCTCCCTTGTACTACTTGTATGTTCATCCAGATAAAAATACATACATTTTATTGAAGTCAGGGACCTTTGTGATATCCACCAGATATAAAACAGCAAAATTCTTAACCTTTTCTGCAATGCTGTACAAAACTTCATCCATCTTCATACACGATGGGTCCCAATCATGACCAAATCGAATTACCTGGTACAAATTAAAAGAAATGTAATACCATCACTACATTTGTTTCACGATTTATAATACTTTGATTTACCATGGTATGAGGCTAATGTACCATGTAGAGACAGGTTAGAACACCTCCACCTGCGAGTTACGGAAGGTAACAAAATGGGAACCTGGTGCCTGAAGGTATACTGGGCCAACATGTCACTGGGGAACAGAGAGACCTGGTCTTCCAGGTCAGGGGTTAGATGCAAGGCTGACAATCTTGCTTCACATAAAAAATATTTATTTAAGAAATCTAAAGAATTTAAAACTGGAAGTCTACAAATATGGCAGAATCTTCTATGCAAGGCTATGGCTCAAAAAGGGCTGTTCTGACAACGATGATGAGGCTAATGTAAAATGTGCATTTATTCTGGACAATGTGTCACAGAAAATAAGAAAAAGGCAGAGGTAAATGGTACAATAATTGGGAAACACACAATCTATTTTGTAATATAACATTTACATTTTCCATTCAATTCATATGCTTTAGGTCCAGATATTTCCTCAGCACTTCTTCTGCATAATACAATCTTTTCTCTCAAAGCAATGATTATGTTTCATAGCAGTACAAAAGAGGTAAAGTGATAGGTTAGGTTAGGTCGGGTGAACTTAGTTTGTATTGCATCAGCTTAGCACTATGTGAAATACAAAACTCTGTAGTTTCAGTCCACAAGCGAACAATACCGACCCAGTGACCACTGCTTGTCAGCAAATTTAGTGCCAAATTTTGCTGATAAAGGTGTCACGTGGTCAATGCAACAAATCCACACAGCCGTTAATTTCGGCTTTCTAGACCGGAGCCGCTATTTCCTTGAAATAGCTCCTCAATTATCCTCACGAGGCTGATTGGATCCCATTCCAGACCCACTACTTCCCAGAAAATTTGGTAGCGCCAGGAATCGAACCTGGACCTCTGAATCTGTAGCCAGGAACTAGACCACAGAAAATAATTTCACCAATATTAGCATTATACAGGTTTGAGGTGCAGAGGCTCAAGTATATGGTCTCCCAATTATAAAGTTGTATCAGCATCTGTATTCCCAGTTTGACAGACAAATTCTTAAACTGATACAGTCACTGTTGCACAATTTAAACAGACTGCTACACAATTTCAAAAGAAACAGTCAATGTAGCCTCCCACGTTTTACTTGCTTACTACTGCATAAATAATAATACACTACAAGGGTGAGCAAGCTGGGTCAAGAAGTAACACTTCTGATTTATATACAGTTGTCCATGTCAAATCTTGCCTGGGGTAGTACTATCACGTAAGGTTTCTTGTAGCTTTCTTCAGTTCCTTCAGGTGAATGCTAGTACAAGGCCTTGAAATATGACTCTACTTTCTCCCAAAAAAATCCTTTCGTTTTACGAAACGCAATCATACACTCATACCATTTAACACTAAATAACTTCTGCAGTTCATACAGTATTTTTATATAACCCACAGTCCAACCATCTATTACAGATACACTAATGGAAAGCTCTAAAATAGCAGTACACTAGTGAGAATCTATTACAAGAGTATTTTACACTGGAGTACAGAGAACAGAACTTAGTAGCTTAAGATACAATGTGACATATACATATGTAAATATTACTATATAAAATAAAGAATATCTACAGATCTGATAATAAATCAATATAATGCACAACAGTTTGCAATCTGAAATTCCTAGAACCACATTTTTCAAGTAGTGTTTCCCTTTCATTAATGTGCCCATTTATTTTTGGACTACAAAATGTCCTACCCCTAGCTTTGTCATAATGTAATGTACAGTCCTGACACTGACTGCGCTCAACACATTAACGTCTTGGGCTGGTAAGTCAGTTTTTGCTTAATTAAGTAGCAATTCAGTGGCAATGAGCCGGTCACTGTTACAAAAACACATACTTTAATGACATCAATGAGTGTGACATTCGGCACTGAGGAGTTCCCTAGAACTCAAATGAGATGGGATGCCAAACTAAAATAACTGGTGCAACAGCTGCAGAGACACTAAAAGGGAAAGAAAAATTTGTAGCCCATATATAATAATAAATAAATGTCCTAGAAATGTGAGAGATTCCGTTGTGCTGTATGGCACCAAGTATTCTGTAAAAAGATCTGCATTTCACATGTTAAGAATGGTAAGGAGAAGGATGAGGGGGGCTGATTATGCAAGTCAATGTAGTATACTTCTGATTACCAGTGCTGAATATCTGTCCAGACGTTTTTAAGTTAATTCATGTACATGGAAAGTCTGAGCAAACTTAATATCACTCAACAGTGCTGTGAACAAGCCAACAGGTGACAAGCCACAAACCACACAATCAATACATGGATAATTGGTAAAATACCACACAGCAACTGGTAACTTTCATTCAGCACTGGTGCCCATGAATACCAACACAGGAGTGTAACTGCCTCAAGCAGATTACAGAACTTTACAGAAACTGGAGTGAAAACAGACATTATCAAAGAATGTAAAAATTAAAATATACAAAACTATAATTTTGTCTGTTCTGTATGGGTATCAAATTCGGTCTCTCCCATTAGGGAAGCAATAAATAATAGGAGGGTGGAAAATTTCATGAGGTACTTTATATCTGTACTTCTCACCAAATATTAGGGTGAATAAACCAGGGATAGTTACATGGGTGGTCCATGTGACATGCATTGGAAAAAAGAAATGCACATAAAGTTCTGGTCATAGAAAACCCAAAGAAAGGAGAATATTAAATGGTTATTAAAGATACAGAGTGGAAGAATATATATTTGACTCAGAACAGGGACCAATGGCAAGATTTTATGATCTAATTTTTAAATCGTAACTATGGTCTATAATGCAACACTAACTTTATATAAAAGACACTAAAATATATTAAATACACTATAAGTGCTTGTTAAATATTTTAAAATATCATTAAAATGATACATTCATTCCTTGTTGAAACATGTTTTGGCCACACATGGGCCATCATCAGGCAACATATTTTGTTACTAGGGAGACTACTGCACTGTACACTTTGTCTTCTGTGCCCTTAAGCACATCGTTGTTTTTGTTATTAGTTTCCTTCGTAGAATACTTCCATTGTATCGTGTATTCTGTATATTTTTAGTGTCATTTATATAAGGTTACTGTTGCATTACAGACAGTATACTTACAATCTAAAAGTGATGCCACAGTGCAACAGGATGATGATGAAATATAATATTTATGATCTAAGTAATGAACCTTTAGGTTCCATAAAATGCAGGGATTCTTTTAATTAGATGTACAAAAATTACCTCTCATGAGTTCTGCTCCATGAAGCTACATCGCAGTTGAAATAGCAGAATGGAAGAAGCTAGCTCCTTAGCAAGGAATTCTGTAATCCTTTTTGGGCTGTCTGCCATTATAATGCATTCTCCCCTAATTTAAACATAAAACATAAGATTCCTGCTATAGATATAACACCTGAAAAATTATCTTACCACAACTCGATCCTCCTCTGAGAGTATAGCTTGATCAACTTGCCAGCCATTGTGGAGATGTCCTAACATGTACGACATGTTGGCTGATTACAGTAAACAACAACCTGAATGGTACAAAAGCATAACACACGTAAGACTTCAAGAGTTTTCCAGTGGTGAAGATTAGTACCATTGTCTTCTGGTTTATTACACTGTACAGTGTGATAGGTGGGTACCACCGTTTTGAAGAAACATACTGCCTCATTTTCAGTTGAAAAGATCCTAGTATGTAAAGCATTATGATTTTTCTGGTTTTTACAGTAATGAGCTCTAGGCGAACCAAATCCTCACCCTACCCACTTCGACCCTGAAGACAGAGGCGTCATGTTTCTCTAAAATTGTATCCACCTATAGACAAAACCTGGCAGGCAACAATCTAGATTATGAGTACTTATGTAATGGGAATAATGCTGAATATGGTGTTCTCAAAGCAGTAGCTATGGAGAATACCATCTTCTATGACGTGACACCATGTAGTGCAGTATAAGTCCACCAACGTTTCGGAGGGACGCACTGCCACCATCCTCAACCCTCAAAATTGCGACAGTGCTTTCCTCCGAAACGTCTAACTTCTACACGACTACATGACGTCACATAGTAGACGATAGTCCTTTTCAAATACAAAGTGGTGTCCTTCTTTATCAGATAAATCCAGTGCAACCCTGGAACAAAGAATTATCGGTGTTCATGGGCCGACCAATAACCTGAAATTATACTAACTCATTTATAAAATGAAGCATAACATACGATTTATAGACATTAATTTTAAATTACTGATACAATGCACATATAATATGTATATAATTATTAAAAATCTAAATACCTTTATTATTATAACGTGGACAATTTAAAAAAAAACACAAAACAAGCAACACCTACCACAGCCACGGACGTCACAGATTACTTATTTTGTTGACAGATGATTCACTGTTCATTGATCTGTGTGTTTACCGTAAGGTACGAACCGTGCCAACAATGCCATGTAGCCCATGTAGGGTAGAACGATGTGAGAGAACGTAGATATCGTAGATTTTACACATCTTACACGGAATACGGGTTCAGTAACAGTAGAGGTTAGGAAGGGAAGTAATTGATAAAGTACTTTAGGAGAAAAAACAGATTCTGAAGTTTTATCAGCTGATATTGCGAATGGGAAAATGATTAACTTTTGCTGCCCAGCCCTAAATCCCACGATTCTATGCAGTACTGTGAGTACCGATGGTTACGAAGTGACAAATCTAGTTTCGAGTAATGCAGATGAAGCTCGGAAAGGTTTCTTGGCTTATAATGCCATTAAACCTCCGGTGACAATAACCATTAACTTTTTCTGCAGTGTCAACGTAAGTCACATAATTTTGTGGTCACAAGTTGGTTGTCAGAAGTCTACTGGATTTGAAATTTATGCGAACTCAGCGTCGAAATCCAAATCACAGGATTATCAGAAGGCTGCATATGGTTATCTTGAAGGTGATGAAATAGGTGTAATATTTTATCGAAGAGGCAGTTACCACGAGTGCATTAAATATACCAAACAACTGAATTTTTTTGCTTGGAAAGCCATTCCTGGAAGAACATGTTATTTTCTTAATAATGCAGTAAGTTTACAGATTAAAATAATTAAAACAAGGTCGTCAGTTCCTGCTTTGGCTAGAGTAGAAGTATGGGGAAACCCAAGTAAATCGTGTGACCAAGCCATCAAGCACAGTGTTTTTAAATTGTGGGCAGACAGAAGTCCGAAGAAAGAAACTATGTGCTGTGATGAGTCAGAGAGACAATTACAAACTGTTTCCGATTCTGATGTGGAGTTTGAAATTCCTGAGGAATTTCTTGATTCAGTAACTTGCACAGTAATGGCTCTTCCCTTCATTTTGCCTTGTGGGAAGGTTGTGGATCAAAGTACGCTTGAGAGACATGAACAGCACGAAGCAAAGTGGGGACGAGCACCTAATGACCCATTCACAGGAAGGATATTTAATGAAAATCACCGGCCCATTCCAGCCACTTCTCTTAAAGCTTGTATTGATAAGTTTCTTATTGAGCATTCTGAGAGACAAGAACTGACATATGTACCAAGAACCACAGGCAGGGAAAAGAGAAGTAGAGTTCATGAAGCAAGTTGCAGTAGTGTGTCTCCAGCAGACATTAAACTCAGTACCTCTGTAGGGTGTCCAACTGAGAGTAAGGAAGTGACTTGTCTATCTGCTTCAAAAAATGTATATCAGTTGAGGCATAAAAGCCCAAAGTACAGAGATGAAGATGTGACTGGGACTAAGATACCTGATGTAGAATCATATGAGGAGAAGGTAGACTGGAGTCTGGACTTTGCTGTCAAGTCTACTCTCGCAGGTCTTCCTACATATACTAGATTCAATGATCATGTGGTCATTCAGCAGTGTGCTGCATGTAGTAGTGACAGCATTTTGTTTAAACTTCCTTGCAAACATTTTTTGTGTAGGGTGTGTCTTGTGTTGAAGAAGGAATCCAAGAAGTTAATCTGTGATGTGTGTAAAGCTTGTTTCCAGTCTAGTGATCCATTACGATATCATGTATAGTTCTCAAAGGGTGGAATATTATGTTGATTACCAGTGAAATAGCTTCGTCACTTGGAAACCTTCATACTGAGTCTTCAATCTCAGACTATTCCCAATGTAAGTTAACAGTGTAATTGAATGCATAGTAAGAATGAATGTGTACCTGTGTAAATTAGTACACTTCTTTCTGTTTATCCATGCACTCTAGGTTATTCTTATCATATGTTTGTAAGCCTGTGTTGCTGAAAGAACAGGATGAGTTTATTAAAGAGCTGGAAACAGTACTTGCTGCTGTTACTAGACAAAATGTAAATCATTCTAACCCATCCAATCCTAAGGTGTAAAACTTATGAAACACTATTGTATAGTAAACATGTACAAACATTTGGAAAGAATAAATTGGGTTCTATTAAATAAGGGATAAACTGTCAGCACATCTTTCTGTATGCTGGAACTTATGAGAGATAATCAGATTTAAGCTGCAAGTAGTAATGGTGAGTGCTAGGAGTATGTCTGTTATCCTTTCTGTATCTCTTGATCTCATTATCAGATATGTATATTGTGAATGGCCCCCAAAATGAGCAGTGTTACATTTATATATATACAGTAGAACTTGGTTATAGCGTCATCAAAGGGACCTAAAAATAGTGTCGTTATAAACGAATGTTGTCGTAACTGAAATGGGCACATCCACAGTAGCCTTATGTTAGTCACGTAAAAATCTACCAAAAACCGAGTTAAAATGTTGCATTTTTTAGTGAAATACATAGTTAAGTACAGACTAACGTAACATTAACGTGGAATTGCCCAAATGTGTAATATCAAAGACATATTACAGCACTTTTCACTGACAATACACACAATATTTCACAAATCACATTAACTTTCTCTTCAATGCTTAAAACTTTCCTTTTCATTGCCATGTTTTCGCTACTGCACTTCTCTGGGTTTAGGCAGGAACACTATAGGGTAAGTAGACAATGTGAGGTCCTGTTAGACGAGATTCTAGGAAAGGAATGCAGTTAACAACCTGCCGCGTCCTCTTGCACTATTCACGCAGTCCCACCCCACACCCTTGTTTTCGCATAAAACCCACGCTCCTCTTGCAGCCCGCGGTCGTATTCTTCCAGGACAGTCACGTCAGCAAGTAGAGAAAGTGAGGGTGGGCAGACACATCGAACTTTCCCACGATATCAGAGAAATTCAGGAATGAAAATGACGTTACATACGAGGTTGATGCATTTGTGCATGTCGTACTAAGCAAGGTATAAAAACAGTTGCTGTATGAGGAATTAGTTCATACCATTGAATATTTGACGCAATAGACAAGGTGTCGCAGAAACCGATGTTGCTATAACCAAGTTTTACTATATATATATATATATATGCACATACAGAGGGCTTACTATGCTAGTATGCATGCTGGCAAACAGTTGTATACTAGCAAATTTGTCAAAGTTGTCTGTCTGTGTATTGTGTTTCCACCTTAAGGCTAATTTTGAGAATGAGCGTGTTTTTGGAAAAGAGTTGTGTATGAGTATGTATCACTTTTCCTTTGCACGTATTTTGTACACATGTGTACATTATTGCTTGTCTAACATCTTTGAGTGTATGTTGTACCTTGGGTAGGCAAGCTTATGAAAGAAAATCCTCTGTGTTAAAGGTCTTTGATATTGCAGTTTTGATTACCATTAAATGTTGAAAGCAGAATCTAGTAACTTTCTAACAACAGTAAGCTATGTCACTAATGACCATGCAGTTTATTGATTTTCTAGAACTATTTACCACTGCTTGTTGACCACAAGTTTTGTTGCTTGTATATACAGTATGACTCATCTGTGTAATAACTCCATAGAGCAGAATTAAAAATAACTGCTCAGCTGATCAAAAAAATTCCCCATCTTTTGTGGAACCCAAAGGTTCGTTATAGCATTCTCAAGAACCTCATCCAGATCCTGAGCCAAATTAAACCAGTCACCACCCAGTTTCTTCAACATTCAATATGTATGCCCAAGTCTTCCACATGATATCTTCCTTTCAGGATTTACAAGCAAAACTCTGTGCACATTATTTGCCCTGCCAGCCTAACCCTCCTTTAATTGATTGTACTACTAATATCTGATCTCAAGAATACAAATTGCAAATCTCAGTAAGCAGTTTCATCCAGTCACCTGTTACTTCCTACCTCTTAGATCCAAATATATGGGATATGGAGTTTGTTGCTGTCCAATGAGAAGGAACCATATGGTTAAGATGATTTTAAGGAAAAGAGGCAAAGGCAGACTACTCAGTTTGTATCTGCACAGTTCAGGTTGGGATGTGTGGCTAATTCAGTGGCTTTCCTGGTGATGTGCAGTCATCATATGTAGATACAAATATTATGTTTCTGGACATTATCCATCGGCCTGTTTTCATTTAAAAACGTTTCAGAGACTGGATTCTGTCTCCATCTTCAGGTAAAACCTACTCAGTTTGGCCCAATTGCTATAACTAGTCCTTATCTCTGGAGACCTCCACCAACACAAGACAAAGCATTAGCCAAGCACAGCACAAACCATCTGTGAAAGCTAAGATGAAACATTAAAATATTAAGAACTCCACATGTATGAGGCCTAGCACCAGAGAACTATCAGAAGAGAAGTCATCACTGCAGAGACAAATTATCTGTATGGTGCAAACACACACACACACACACACAAAAAAACTTTTCCCACTCAACCTACACTGGACAGAGTTGTAGATGCATAATGTCCAGAAACGTAATATTTGTATTAATGTATCATCACAAATTTTTAGATCTTATTAAGTGTAGATGTTCGTGAGAGATTCAGTTTCATAAAGTTTTATGCTGTCGCTTGGCAGCTGCTGATGTTTGGACATCTGGCATGGTTTCTCAGAGACAACAGCGCAAATAAGTATCACAACAGGTTATGTTTACTGAATGCAATAGCAAGAAAACTAGTGAAGTCAGACACAAAATTTGAGATTTTCACAGCAGTAAAGATATTGATGGTAGTTTTCTGGGTTATAACTGTGAAGGCTGTTAGATGGTTACCAACATTTTGGAGAAAGATCTTGCCGCCATCTTCAGGGTATCCTCCAGCTTGATTAACAGCAGATATATTCAGAGTTATGTTGGTCCATACAGTTTAGAATGTATAAAATACCCCCTCATCAATTACAAAAAGATCACAGACCTCTGAACACACTTAAGAGTTTAATAACTGAAAACCTATATACTTATGAAGCTGAGACCTCCTTGAGGAGAAGCCAAATTCGCAGCTACTCAAGAATTTACCAGCATGTTATGGAACCCAAAGGTTCATTACCGTGTTCATAAGAGCCATCCACTGGTCCCTATCCCAAGCCAGATCAATCCAATCCATAGCATCCCATTTTAATATTGTTCACCCACCTACACCTTGGCCCTCCCAGTGGACTCTCTGGCTTTCCCACCAATATCCTATACGCATTCCTTTTCTCCCCCATTCGTGCTACATGCCCTGCCCACCTCAACCTCCTTGACTTGATCATTCTAATTATACTTGCAGAAGAGTAAATGTTATGAAGCTCCTCATTATGCAGTTTTCTCCAACCTCCTGTCACTTCATCCCTCTTTGGTCCAAATATTCTCTTCAACATCCTGTTCTCAAACACCCTCAGTCTGTGTTCCTCCCTTAATGTCAATTATAGTTCTGTATATTCAAATTTTTATGTTTTGGACAGCAGACGAGAAGACAAACGGTTCTGGACTGAATGGTAGCAAGCATTACCCGAGTTCAGTCTTCCCTTAATTTCCTCTTAAATCAGGTTTTGATTTGTTATTGTCATTCCCAAATATTTGAACTATGCCACATTTTCAAAACGTCTGTTCTCTATCATCATGATTTTGCCCTTCGTTTTGGTGACAAGTTAGCAACATATACTTACAGGGGATGGACAAAAATATGGAAACACCTCGTGAAATGCATGCCTGAATTGAAGTGTTTATTTTAGCGACGTTTGTAGGACACGCTGTCGTATCTGCCCAACACCACTACCTGTACAACCTCCGCAATATGTTGCAAGCTTCATTTGTTGTCGAGACAGTGTTCTCTGCAATTTTTTGTGCATCACATCCAAGCTAACAGAATTCGAACGCGGGCGAACTGTTGGGGCCCATATGGTGGGTGCTTCCATAACCCAGGTAGCCGAGGTTTTTGGTGTTTCGCGAGGCACAGTATCCAAGATTATGACCGCATACAGGAGGACTGAAAAAACCGCACTGATAAACACCAGCATGGATGGAAATGTGTGTTGAGTGATCGAGACAGACGAACATTGCGTAGGATTGTGACGAAAAATAAGACTACAGCAGCAAAAGTGACTGCTGAACTGAATGTCACACTCACAAACCCTGTCAGCACCAACAGTATGAAGGGAACTGCACAAGCAGGGTATTTCTGGATGAGCTGCAATTCCAAAGCCACTCATCAGTGATCAAAATGCCACTAAGAGGACAGTGTGGTGCCAAAGTCATAATCCCTTCACACAGTTTCTGACTTCTGGCCGAGTTTACGTCTGGAGAACGCCATCCCAAGCTTACGATCCAGATTGTTTGCTGCCAAGAGTGAAACATGGCGGTGGGTTCAATCATGGTATGGGCAGCCATATTGTGGTATTCTGTCGGACCCATCATTACCCTGCAAGGTCACGTCACTGCCAACGACTATGTGACCGTTTTGGGCAACCAGGCCCATCCCATGGTGCAAACTTTGTTCCCCAATGGTGATGCCATTTACCAAGCCAACGATGCCTGTGTTCACATAGATCACATCTTCCAGGACTGGTTTTCTGAGAATTAAAATGAAGTGTCATGTCTGCCATGGCCCCCACAATCGCCAGATATCAATATATTGAGCCTTTGTGGTCTCTTTTGGAGAGCAATCTGCATGCGCACTATCCACCTCCATCATCGATAACAGAACTTACCATGTTTTGCAAGAAAAATGGTACAAGATTCCCTTGCATATCATACAGGACCTCTATTTATTCATTCCAAGGAGACTGCAAGCAGTTCTGCAAGCCAGAGGTTGTCCTACACCATATTAGTCACGGTAATGTGTTTTTTGTTGGGTGTTTCCATATTTTTGTCCATCCCCTGTAGTTTTATCTGTGTTTACTTCTAAACCAACCTTGCTTGCATCAATTAAAGTTTGTGTGTTTTTCTTTATGATATCTATGTTATCACCCAGGAGATCCACGTCATCGGCACAGACCAACAGTTGATGTGTCCTGTTTAATTTCAATCCCACCTGGTTTTCCTGGAACTTTCTAATGGCATATTCTAAAGCAAAGTTTAAAAGGAGTGGCAATAAAGCATCTCCTCGTCTTAGACAATTCTGGATAGGAAATTTATCAGACAAATGTTTACCTATACAGACTTTACTATAAGTTTCGTTTAAACACATTTTAATCAGCTTAACTAGTTTCATGGGTATCCCAAACTCAGAATATTGTATGAGGCTCGTCCACAAAGTAAGTTTCCCTGGGGCCGTTTATAGAAACAAAACACAATTTCATGGAAATATTTATTGCCACAGATACAGCAAGTCTTCACTTATTTTTAAACATAATTGCCACAGGAACTGAGACATTTGTCATACCGTGGGACCAACATTTGAATACCTGTGTCGTAGAAGTCTGCCGTCTGGGATTGGAACCACTGTGTGACAACCTTCTCTGACTCTGTCATTCTCAAAACGCTGACGCTCACCGGACAGGAATTTTTTGAGGTGTAGGAAAAGCTGGAAATCACTGGGAGCGAGATCCAGGCTGTAGGGTGGATGATTAAACACCTCCCAGCTGAACTCCTGCAGGAGACTTGCTGTCCGTCAAGCCGTGTGCGGCCTAGCATTATCATGCAGGAAGACAATACCGGCACTAAGCATCCCGCACCGCTTGTTCTGAATGGCCTGTCGCAACTTCCGCAGTGTTTCACAGTAACGCTCAGCATTCACCGTCTCACCTCTGGTCAGGAAGTCGATGTGGAGAACGCCCTGTCTGTCCCAGAATACCGTGCACATCACTTTCCGTGCCGACGTCTGCTTAAATTTCGTCTTACAGGGAGATCCACTGTGATGCCAATGCATTGACTGCTGCTTGGTTTCTGGGGTAATGTGTGAAATCCACGTTTCATCACCTGTGATGATTCGGTCCAGAAACTCGTCGCCGTCATCATGGTACCACTGCAGAAATGTCAATGCTGACTCCATGTGCTTTGTTTTGTGTTCTGGTGTCAGTTGCTTCGGCACCCACCTGTGCGCACAATTTCCTGAACGACAGATGCTCTGCGACAATTTCGTGCAACAAGGAGCAGGAAATCTGCAGGACATGACTGCTGAGTTCCGTAATTGTGATGCGATGATTCTCCATAATGTGTTCCCGCACAAGTTCCACCAGGTCGTCTGTAATGATGGATGGCCACCCACTGCACTTCTCATCATGCACACTTCGTCGACCTGCTGAAAACTGTCTGCACCAGCGACACACAATCTGCTTGCTCATGACGTTAGGCCCATAGACCCGGCACAGCTGACGATGAATTTCGATCGGTGCTATGCTCTGTGCATTCAAAAACTTTATCACTGACCGCACTTCACAGTCGGCAGGAGCTGGAATAAGAACCTCCACCTTCAACAGCTGCAACGATGCTACTGTAGGAATGCGGGAAATTCCATTAGTGCATGCGCCATGCTACGTCATTGCTCTATCACGTACAAACAGTCGCTTCGCGCAATATAAGGTTTGCTAGCTGTGGGACGAGTGGGAAACTTACTTTGTGGATGTGCTACGTACAATACTTCCCTCCTAACTGAATCATAGGATCTCTGGAAGTCTACGAATAGCTGATGTACTGTCTCATTGTACTCCCATTTTTTCTCCAATATCTGACGAATGCAAAAGATCTGATCTGTAGTTGATCTGTTACGTCTAAACCCACACTGATTATCCCCAATAATTTCATCTATGTATGGACTTAACCTTGAGAGAAGAATATTGGATAAAATTTTATATGAAGTTGATAGCAGTGATATCTCCCGATAATTACTACAGTCAGTTTTATCACCCTTCTTGTGAACTGGTACAATAATAGATCCCTTCCACTGATCAGGCAATTTTTCCTTATACAAAACAGAAATAATTAGCTTATGGATCTTGGAATATAATATTTTGCCTCCTGCTTGAACAAGTTCTGCCAGAATTTGATCACTACCTGGCGATTTATGCCTTTTCAATTTTGCAATAGCAATTTCAACCTCAAAAGGGCTGGGATCAGGTAGTAACAGCTCAGCTGTGTGCATTTCTATCTGCCTAACATCAATGACCCTATGTATATTCAATAACTGAGAGAAGTAGTTTTTCCACCTATTCAGAAATTGAAATCCTATATTCTCACTTTAAATATTTTTTGATGATGATAATACTAATAATTTAATTCTGTAAGTGTAATAGTAACAACAAATATATTACACATACAAAACATACTTATATTTATATTTTGGTGTAAAACAAACATAAAATAATGAAATATGCTGTATAATTTTAATATTTTAACACTTAACAATTATCAGTATATATGATAAATATATATTTTAGTTATTTTAGTATGTATAGACAAGGCATGCAATGAACTAGTTTGTCGTGGATTGGATCAGCACCTGAGGATGGCACATTTGTGCCGAAACATGTAGTGAGAGTGAGAAGAGGGGACAGATGAATGTATGCACTAGAAGACGAATAAAATAAATCATAATTAAAATAGTACTTTATTTATGAAAAGCTTTCAATACAGTAAGTTAGAAACAGGATGGAGGAAAGTAGGAATGCATATAGGATATTGGTGGGAAAGCTGGAAGAAAGGAGACCACTGGGAAGACCAAGATGTAGGTGGGTGGACAATATTAAAATTGATCTTAGAGGGATAGATTGGATTGATATGGCTCAGGATAGGAGCCAGTGGAGGGCTCTTGTGAACATGGTAATGAACCTCCAGGTTTCATAAAATGCTGGGAAGTTCTTGAGTAGCTACACAATTGGGAGCTTCTCAAGAAGGGCTCAGTTCCAAGAGTGAGTGAAGGTAGAAACAGGGCTTGAAAAACCATGTCAGTGCTATTAACCAAATTAAAAATGTATACATTGTCCTGTCTCTGGAAAGTTATCTTGTTACATCAAAACAATATAAGTTGCCTAAAACCTGAATCATTCATCTTTATGTACAAATTAATATAAAGAAAAGTTACTGTAAGGTACTGCCAATGTACTAACAGTTTTCAGAAAACTGGAAGAAAGTCTAATATTATCTTCTGGGATGTACTGTCATGTAGTTCAGTATAAGTTCTCAGATGTTTCAGAGGAATTTACTGTCTTGTGGGAGTCATATAAGCAAGAAACTCGTAGTTTTTTTCTTCCTTGGCTTATTGTTTGACCCTGAAAATGGTGGCAATATAACCCCCCCCCACCAAGAAAAAAACACTAGTGAACTTGTACCAGACTACATGGTAATATAGGTCAGAAGATGTACTCTTCACAGTCACTGCTGTGAGAACCTCAAATGCAACATGAAATGAAGTCCATTAATATAAATAACCTGAGGCAGGTGGGTGTGTAACCATAATTTTCAAGCCATGCAGCACATTATGCACCATAAATAATTGTAGAACACTAACAAGAACAACTCTTTAATAACTGATAAGAGTACCACGAAAAAGCACACAACTGGTTCACTTCATTTTTGTGAGCACCAATGTTCATTGTTCTCTTGTCTCATGTAGCATTGATTTCTTCAATGTTCAGATGTGCAATGAATCTCAGACGCATTTGGAGGGCTGGACGTAGTCTACGGATTATGCATTCTACCTCATTCTTCATCAAGTCACCCACAAACATGTACTTAATGTGATAACTGAGTGGAAGTCAAGGAACAAAATAAGACAGTGCCGCAGTAATTTCAACTGGCCCAGTTCTTAGAATAGTGTGAAACTAAGCTAGGAGTTTTGGATAGAAGTCATAAAGCCTGTTTTCCTATTGCACAGACTTCTAGTCCCACAAATCTTGTGCTGTAAATGACATATTTAGGTAATATTTTATAATCCAACAGTAAAATGCTATTTAGCTCATTGATTAAGGTGCTGAACTGATGTGCAAATAGTCATATGACTAAATCCTGCTCAAGTCAGTTTTCTTATACTGTTTGCAATCATAAAGATATTAAAAATTAATAATAGTGGCCGCAGTATTTTATTTTTGGCAAAGCTATCCCTGTAGCAGGCCATGAAGCCCCATAGGGTTGTGATACATCAAGGCTCCCACATTTTCTACACAATTGGCTCAAAGATGGTGGTGAGGTTGTCAGCCTTACACACCAGCTGCCCTTTACCCCCGGGAAGATTTTATTTTGGAAAAACTTACTATTTAAATACAGATTTTGTCTATTTTACAAACGTTGAAGAAAATATCACATAGAATGTGTAGGTATTTCTATTATCTATTCGCGTACCAGATTTCACATGCCTAACTCCAATGGTTCATAGCATTGCCATCAACCTGACAGCTAAATAAATGTTACATGAAGATGTCATGTTGTTGTTTAACATTCTAAAACATGTATCATAACAAAAATTGAATGTTTTATCAAGATCTATTACTATACATCATTTCAGGACCCTAAGTTAAGAGGCTCCCACCCTTTGTCAGCTATTCAACATGCTTCAATTATCAACTCTCACTATACTGTAGAGTAGTTGAACTCTCTGTGCTGTCTTCCACTGTCTTCACAATCCACACACACTCGCTCCTGGCACCACGCACACTCTCACTCCTCCTGGCTGCTCTTTGTCTCAGCACACTGTACACACAGTGGCTCACATACTGCTCAGCCGGCCTCTTATACTTTTCCCTGTTGCCATGTAGTAACCGCAGTGTCCCGTTATGTCACTGCGGGGGCGGGGGGAGTTTTTACTGGCCTGTTACCATAGCAGCAGCAGCAGCTCCTATATGGTTACATAACTGCGGTAATGGTTGCCTAACACAGCTGCTCGGCTGTTATGTCACCACTGGCAACACGTGTTACCGCACTGTGCGGAGACCACGATCCTCAACATCCTCCCCATCTTGGTGTGCTTCTTCCCAACGATGTGTCCCTTGCGCTGTGCCACTCCTGCACAGCGGGTCATCCTTTCCCCTTTTGGCTATGATAAGAGAACTTGCTGACCTGTACAAATCAAGACTTCCTACCATGGCTAAGAAGATAAGTCTGATAGGGTTCACTTCACGTTTCAGGAACCACACAAGATCACCATACTGGCAGCATAGAAACTGGGCATGAGGCAGTAATACACAATATAGTATGATACACCGATCATCAAGGAAGTTGCATTTAACAACTGTTCATGCCAATGAACTATAATATTAGTTTTAATTTATTATAAAAATGTTATGACCAAAATTTGTTAGGGTTTTAAAAACACTTAATCATCGTAAGATAATAAATTAGGTATACTTAAATGGTGATTTCACATCTTGTCTGTTGGCAAAAAGTCAAATATAGGGAAGGAGAGGAATCACAGTTCATACAAATCTGCAATGGCCTCAGTGGTGTGCATGCTCCTGGGGAACAAATGCAGACATTTCTCTTCCAAGTTTCAAATTTTCTTAATCTGTCCACACAAGGAACTTAGTTCATATTAGAACCTAAAGCATGAAGTTCTCGAGAAATGCTGTTGATGATGAACTCTTTGAATTTCTTTGGCCTTCGAGAACTTGCACGCAGACCTTACACTGACAGCCTCTTTCACTGTGGTTTGAAATGATGGACCCAGATCTCATCATTCTGAGAAGACAAAAAAACCTCATCTTGTGTGTTGTAGTGGGGCAAGAGGTTGATGAGTACTGTCTTCCTAGCCTCTCTGCGTCAGTCAATATTTGTGGCACCCATGGCACTCAGACTGCATCAATAATGGTCATTACATGCCCCTAGTAATTCTTTCCAGGTACAGTGAAGTGTCAGGCATCATGCAAGTCTACTTCTACTGTTTCCAACTCATTAAGATGTTTTTCCAAGCATTAAACAGTATTTATATCCACAGATTTATAACCACACACTTTCCAAAACTGAGTATACAAATCGATCTCTTACCTTGAGAACTAAGAATCAATTCATGCCTGTTTTGTCTACATATCAAGATCCATGATTGGTGAGATTAAACTGCAACTATACATAAGCGATGGTGAATGTTTTAGTACTATACTCATGTAGCTATTGCTTCCACATGACATTAGCTTTCTTTTTATAAGTACAGCACTTTAGAGAAAACAATATTTAACTAATTTTTCACCCAAATATTATGTACTATACAGTATATTATAAAATTATAAGTACAATATATATCAGGAATCATACAGATACAAAAGTAGTAAGCAGCGCTTATCTTTCTAATTAGAACAATATTTTACCTATAAAGTTTCTAAACATGGCACCAGTCATAATGACTCAGCAGATAAGTTTAATGTTCTTCCAAATAATAAGATCTACTGAATTCTTTACACTGAAAAGATATGCTCATACAGAGAATTCACCAGAAAAACAAGTACATGGTTTATCAATAATGATCAACATATACCCAATGGCAACTGAATTAAATTTCAAAATATATTAAGCACAAAAGGATACAGGAGATCACAGATGGGATCCATGTAGTGCATGTGTGTCACATTCTTATCCACCTGCTCTAGAAGTTCATACAGCTCCACTGTCAAATCTGTCACGCATCTTGGCCGATCTGTATTAAAGCGCTGTAAGAATGGGCCTACCAAGTGGCAGAGAAATAGAAACTGCTCTTCAGTCCTTACCACTGGATGGACCTTCTCCCTCACAAACCTGATAATAAAGGTCATTCAGCAGCATATATCAACATCCAGTCACATTTGGCATGGTACATCCCAAAATCTAAGGATTAAAATATAGGCAGCATAACTTCTCTGTTTTAACACTGTCCTTAATAGAACAACATATTATTTGACAGTTCAGCTCAGTGAAAGTAATCAACCTAAATATTAATAAGCACTGAAATGTAATAAATGACTTCATATTATTAAAGGTCTTAACCAGAAGGATGGACATCTGAAGTTGGGTACAAGGAATTCTAGACAAGTTTCATAAATATCTTTGGAATCACAAAGACTTATTTAAAGAACAAAAATATGCAAGTTCTGAGGGTAATTAAATGTTTCTACTTAAGCTCTTTATATTTTGCCAACAAATTGTTTTCCAAAAATTAATACTTCAAAGGAATCATCAATCAGAATATAGGACACAAAATATACTACATTCAAACAAACGTTAAGGTCTTAAAGAAGAGTGCATAGAGAACCCTACCTGCTAGTGATACTTACTGAGGAACCGTGCTGATCTGACCAACTCCTGCATGGTGCCACATGGAATGTGCCAGGGCTAGCATATATGAGAACTTATTTTCAAGGAGAGAATCATGTGTGGCAGCAAAATTGAATAACTGGAATGGAGTGTTACGATACTTCCACTGAGTCAGCTGTGGGGAAGTTATTACCTCCACTAGACGATCATGTAGAACTGACCAATATGAATCAGGTAAGGCAGCCATTATAAGTCCCACTGAATTGATCCACATATGAATTTGGTTTGAGGGTATCACAGTATACCTGCAATGATCAATATCCAGAATTTTCCAAGAGAAAGAAGGTAGAATATATATTGTAGACATTTGTAGACTAATAATTTATGCAGAACTCGTAATTTTCTACTANTTGAATAACTGGAATGGAGTGTTACGATACTTCCACTGAGTCAGCTGTGGGGAAGTTATTACCTCCACTAGACGATCATGTAGAACTGACCAATATGAATCAGGTAAGGCAGCCATTATAAGTCCCACTGAATTGATCCACATATGAATTTGGTTTGAGGGTATCACAGTATACCTGCAATGATCAATATCCAGAATTTTCCAAGAGAAAGAAGGTAGAATATATATTGTAGACATTTGTAGACTAATAATTTATGCAGAACTCGTAATTTTCTACTAGTTATAATATTCACATCATGCAACTACAACTGTCATGATTCATCAAGTAATCAGTGATGCACAAATTTAAGCCATTACATTTGAAAACTAAGAATGTAAATTTTTTCTTAAATGCGATACATATATACACATCCTGATATTCTTGTACAATGATTATGAATTTCAGAATTTTGAAACTCATCATTGCTAATGCCAAAGACTTTTCATATCTGTCAGGGAAGTAACTGGAAAATATCTTGAATGAACATTTTGTAGCTTTCAACTTCAAATGGCATATTCATTATTCATGCATACCGTTTAATGTAACAGATTACATTATCCTGGAGGAGAGAAAAAAACCATTATATATGCAAAGTCACTCCAGGGAACTTTAAAGGTAAAAAGGTATTCCAGTTTTTCATGCAGGAAAATGTACTTTGAACATTTTAAAAAATTATTTTCAGTTTCTTTCATACTGTAACTTTTATTCTGGAATACTCGTAAACATTTATCTAGTTATGCTAGCATTTGATGTTTTCAAAGTAGACTGAACCAAAAAGTTTGCAAAAGTTCTTCATACCATTTGGTAAGAGAAAACTCACCCTTTGGCAACAACATCTAGCAAGTTTGTGCCTACAAGGGCTGGAGTGACTGGTACAGCCATGAGCTCTACACATGTGACATACAATGCATGGGCTGCAGGGTTGGGGAACTCATTGAATCTCCAATCTGTGGCTGGAAAGTGTGGCTTCCCTGATACAGCTACAGAGAATGCGTCAAGGAAACTAATGTATGACTCCAAACTCCTTAAGTGAAGGGCACTGAACAGTCCTAATTCATAATTAAAATTTAGGCACAAAAGTACATGATTATATTGCAAGACACTCTGTATTCTGAGGATCTCAGTTCATAATAGCTCAGTCTCCTCACTTCAGGAATTCAGTAACAACTCTAAACTGCACATTTTCTTTTTCACCTCTGAAGCACAATAGACCACTGTAGGTCATGGTGCAAGGGCAGAGAAGGCCCACCCCTTATACAGTCATTCTCACCTCTTAGTTGTTCACAAAATGAATGACAGAAAAAGGAAAGGGGAAAGAGAAATGACGTTCAACAGAAACTATTTGGCAACAGAATGAAAGGCTACATTAAAATGTTACAAGTTCTAAATTAGATATTTTCTTCCACTTGTAGTAGAATACATACAGTGGAACGTCTATTTGCTGTTGCTCAGTTTAAGGGTTTCCTCGATTTAGAATTCAGTTTCGATGATCTCACCATCAAATTACCTCAGTTTAGTGTTCAAAGTCACTGTACCCAAAAGATACCTTAAACACGGGTTTCACCGTATTAGTGGCTCAGTGCACAGACCACCAGTTCAGAGACACTAAAACGAACAAGAAAAATTGGATAATAAAGAGCCAGCAAAATATTTAGATATTATAGTGGTGATGTAACAGACAAATGGCAAAAATGGCATGAGGACCTTCACAATTTGAAATCTTTACTGAATACCATTACAGTGGTTAAATCAAGAAGAATGAAACAGGTGTAACATTATTAAAATAAATCTGTAAAAACAGCTTGTGTAAACAAGCAGTACAATGGATTGGCTGAGGCTTCTGCAAATGCAATGATACAGCTATAGGTTTCATAATAGAGAATTTCTCAATATGATGAATAACATAAACTACTTGAAGGAGACTCTGTATCCTTGAATTAATAAGTTATTAGTACACCTCAAATTGCTTTACATTAAATCTTTGTGCACCATGTACTGGCCATATCAGCTCATTGCTAATCAATTAGAAACGCATTTCTCTCCCGAGATGACATCAAACATGACATATTGATGTTTAAAGGATAGAATGACCTGTCACAAAACATATCAACCCTGCTGTTTGAAGATAAACTGACGAACGTATTGTCGGTTTTTCTGTGCAACAGCACTTAGCACCATTTGGCATTTTAGCAGGTACTTCTATTGGACGGCTTGGCAGTCAGAGGATTAATTAATAGCTGCAAGAAAGGATACTTTCAACTATTCGCCGAACAAGTCTAACGTAATAGTCCAATTCAGGGATCCAGTTTGTCTCATCTGTTTGTCGCTGCATATAAGTCTGGTAGGGCTCTGAAAGACTCCATCCTGGGGCTCTGATGTCACGTAAAGAACCCAAAACTGCTGCTACCAGACGGCGTTTCAGTGGTGGACGGTCCCGCAACTTCCGTTCATAGTAGTGGAGTGTATTATAGAGGTATGTTACAGGGCGATCTGCAATACGTTTTGTGAACAAAATGCTACAGGCTACCAGTAATAATAATATATACAAGAAAATACAGCCATGAAAATTGTGGTCATTATATTTATAACAATCATGAACCTAATGAGCACAAAAATTATACATCAGCTGTCAACTATTGGAAATCAACACAGTAACCAAGATCTATGATGCAACTAGATCTATTACATTACCATGAAATTTATACAAGCACCCAAGATGTTCCAGCAATGTCTCCAAAGATTTGGTGACTGGAGGAAGTTCAAGATAGCGATGAATGACAATATCAAATACCTAAAAGCAAGGAAATTAAGTAGATTTATTGTCGTGTGTGTTATATAACATGAAACGTTGATCTATCTACCTTACAGAAGAATAAAAACTTACTGGCAAGAATCTGAGGCATACATTTCCAAAGTACACTGGCAACGAATGATATGGTGATGAGGGGCCTCCAGACTGTTCCAAGATTCCCTCTGGAGCAAACTTCTCAGGATACTTACGATGAAAAGCAAGATGCTTTTCATGCCTGGCAGTAAGAGAAGTTAAAGTCATAAGTATTATCATGAATCTCAGTTTGGATGAATAGAGTAAAGGAATTGAATCTGTATAATTGTGGATGGTTGGAAAAATACATTAAATCTAAGAAAATGAAACCAAAGAAAGTAAGGGCACAGAAGAGTGAGGGAACTCGAAAGTGCAGAAAAATAAAAAGGTAACTATTATATGCATTGCTCACTGATGTATTTATCTGGATGCAAGACAAGACTTCTTTCTTGCTCTATTTTTCGTTAGAAAATACCTAACTCCATGGTGAAGTGACATTGAGAAGGTTATAACTGCTCTCTTACCTAAGAAAAATTTGTTTTATGGAAACGACAGGTTCATTGCTGTGTCCAACAAAAGCCTGCAAGGTGTCACCCTATATTTAGAAATCAAGAAAAATGTGTAAAGATCAAGTATGACTAAAGAAATACTGAGAGAACTGATTATTTTAACAATAAGATTTTCATTACCTTCACCACAATATTCATATATGTACAGTCCTATATTCTTGGAGTTATTAGATTAAGGCTGCAGGCTCTACTTTTAGTGACACAGCATTCGCCAGACGTAATTCTGTATTTTCATCATTCTTGCTTCTAAGCAGGCAACAGGACTTGTGTTAGACAAATACTAGCTTTCTCTACACCATATCATATGCTAAGGACACATGAGTCAGGGTATGCCACAGTTGCCAGATGCAACAGTGATCTTTTGTGGTAACTGTCAGTGACTGATTTAAAGTGCACTAGATAATGCTGATAGTGTTAATTAATACATAATCAATGTTGTTCACTGCTGGGTATATATTTTTTAAATGTCTATATTGATGGAAAAATGAAGACAGTTCCATACTGAAAAGGTGTGAATATGTACACACAGTAAGGGTGCTACAAGAATGAATCATTAATTTCTATTTGAAAAACATTAACTTAAAATGCTAAATACCAATTTGATTGTTTCCAGTGCTCTGGTGAATTTTCTTTAACGAATTCTTGTACACGGTTGCGCAACTCAGCTGCCTTAAGTAGTAGCAGTTGGATGATAAAAAAGCACACTTGAGCTTCACTGCCTTCTTGAGTTCGCAAGGCCTTAAATAACAAAGATGGTAATCGCAATTTTATTAGGTATATACACAATCAGTTAACTGAACATACAGTGGGACAGTGGCTATGGAACTTATTCAAAAGGATCAACTAATTAAATTCTTTGCAGGAAAACTTTCTAGAGCTATCAAATTTAGAAAAAGGTTATTCTCAGAATTAAAAGCTATTATTTTCTGAATCAGCAGTAATATTTGGATAGGCTCGCTTTACTACTTCATTACAGACATATATTTTGTCATCTCAGGCCATTTTTTTTCTTGTAACTACTACTGTTGTTGTACACTGGCCAATAGCAATTATGTTAAAAATACAGTGAAATAGCTAATTTGCTACACTAAAATAATGCATGTAATTAATTCAGTTACATACATAGCTCTGTGTAGATGTCCTATCCCATATACTACTAGCACAAAACAACATTATCTATATTAGCAAGTACTAACAACCTGTCACTAAATGATTATACAGAATTCCCCACAGTATCTGCTGCTGCCTCAGTACCTACAATCAAGATGCCACAAATAATACATAATGTTCAATAACATTTTCCTCTTACAATATTCCAATAATCAGCTAAGAAAATACATAATTACACTGGTTGAGATCTAAAATGGAACCTTCTTTTGAAACTAGAATGCCAACACAGTTAATACATACAGACCTACAGTCAGAAACTTCTGATGTAATTTTTGTGGCAAAGACAAACTCACTATCCCAGCTAGGAATGAAACTTAGCCATCATGCATGAAGTCGGGTACTAACTGAGCTTATTTATCTTCATTTCTGAAGTTGTCAAGGGAATCCTACTATCAACCATGCATTACAAATGTCCTTACCACTACGAGTATATCCTTAATTTGACAAACTTCTCTTACAGTGTCTTAACACTCAGATTTGCCTAACATGCATATTTATGACTTATCCTCATTAATTACAAATAAACATACCAGCCCAAGAGTGACTGGGATCCTAACATGACATTCAAGTTCCTGCCATCTGAGGAATCATGAACTACAAAAGAAAGTGTGCAATCATAAAATATAAAGCTGTAAGTACTGGGTACTTACCAAACACAGAACTAGTCTGTCAATTGTCACAATGTTGTATTTCCATATCATGTCATTGATGGCATCCACACACTTGTTCACATGTTGTCCTCCTCCAGAGTTAGCAAATTCAAACACCAAATAATCACAGAACTTGCGCAGATGTGCTGACAGAGCTCTAGCACCAATGCGTTCCAATATCCTACAAACAAGGTTCATCTTGTCCCTTCACATTCATTTCTATGCAGATTAGCAGTTGCTACAGTATCAATAAATTAGCCAAGTTCAATAAAACCTATCTTGCTAGGACAGACACTAAACTAAAATGGAATGGAGCAAGTACGGGATAAGGTAGTCACAATATCTTGTCATTTAAACAAAACAGAAATAAATCATGAAAACACCAGTCACTGCATTCGTAACAGAATGTTTTCTGAAGATGTGTCATGCCAATACTGAGCAAAACCCTGTTTCAGAGACTCACTGCCTTTAATATCAAAGACAGAGGTAACGAATGACTAATGAATGATGCGTGCAGGTACATCTCCTACAGCTTTGTCATATTTTAAGTCTGTATTAATCTGATTTGATGGTTTAAAAAACTACTTGGCACTTAATCACAATTAAAACTTCAAATTCAAATCAATCAGAATACCTATCTTCCAGGACTGAAAGACATAAAAACCAAGTGTAAAGCAGGAGTACTTGTTTCATGATTTCCTTCAAAAATGTTTATACACAACAATATTCAGGTTAGGTTACAAGTTAAAACAACACTATTCTGCGTTATCAGGGTTCTTTCTATGTTCTACTCACTTGTAAGCTATGGGACTGATTCTGTCAGTCTCCAGAATCATCTTCCAGAGCAGGCATAAGAAGAGTGGTGGTGTTCCTGGTACAGAAAAATGAGCAATGATATCATTCTCATTGTTCATAGATGCCCAGTTTCGGTATTCCTCTTCAACTGCTTTCTAGAAAAGAAAAGTCAAGTCCACATAAATTGCGAGATACTATCCAGAACATCTTATTTTATACAATCACTACTGTAAATAAGATCTAAAAGTTTGTGACGATGGTAAATTGCTACAAGTACTATGTTTTTGGACATGATCCATCCTCTTGTATATTTAAAAAAAACTGTCCTGTTTCTATTTTAAAACACAATGTTTCGGAGACTGGATTCTGTCCCCATCCTCAGATAAAACCTACTCAGTTGGGTCCAATAGATAGAGCTAACCCCTCTCTCTGGACACCTATGCCAGTTTCCGAAGGGGTTCATAATCCAGGCACAACACAAACCATCTGTAAGAGCTAAGAAAATATTCAACTAATGAAGATACACACATATGAGGCCTTACACCAGAGAAATATCTTGAATGAAATCATACCTGGAGGGAAGCAATACTCCTTGTGGTACCAACACATGAAACAAATAGTTACCCACTCCAACTACACTTGACAGCGCTGTAGTCTCTTGATTTCTGCTGTGATGACAGGGGTCCAGATGGGAGAGATATCCACACTGAGGTGACTGATCGGATGGTCCAGCAGAGACATGTGGGCTGATTCCTTGTATTTCCTGTATGTGGTGTTAGGTTCGATCTGCAAGACCGTTGCTTCATTCCAACAGATTTTGTGGTCTTCCTCGTATGCATTTTGGGCTAATTTAGATTTTCCCAGCAAACCCTGTGTCAGGTTATATTTGTGCTCTTTAATGCGTACTTCTAGGGGTCTGCTAGTTTCACCAATGTAATATCTGGTGCAGTCACAAGGGATGCTATACATACACTGCTTTGTTTTCTAGGCATCTCTAACAGGTCTGGTTTTCATTAATGTCCTCCGGAGTGTATGTTTAGTTTTGAGAATTGTTCTGAGATGAAAACGGTTCCTGATGCGTTTGAATTTCTCGGCGATACCCTTGACATACGGGATGACTACAGTGTCTTGGTATGCTCTGTCTGAAGATGGACGATTTCTTGCCGATGGCTTCAATACAAAGTCCATGAATTCTTTAGGATATTCATTGAGCATCAGATCATGTCTTATGTTTCTGATTTCTTTACTAAAATCCTTCTGGTTTTGACATATGACCTTCACTCGGTTGACCAAACTATGAATAACTCCCCTTTTTACGTGATGTGGGTGGTTGTACTTGAAGTGAAGATAACGGCCAGTATGAGTAAGCTTTTGGTACACTCTGGTGGTCAGTTTTGGACCCTGCTTCATAACCAAAACGTCCAAGAATGGAAGTGCATTATTAACCTCATCTTCCATAGTTAATTTGATAGTAGGCCTGATGTTAATATGTTGAAGAAATTCCTGTAACTTTTCCGGTTCATATGGCCATATCGCAAATCTGTCGTTCACATATCTTAGCCATTTGGTGGGTTTGTATTGAGCTGTGTCCATTGCCATTTCTTCAAAATGCTCCATGAAAATATTACTGACCACTGGAGATAGTGAGTTCCACATTGACATACCTTCTTTTTGCTGGTAGAACGTACCTTCAAACTGGAAGTATGTGGTTTTTAAGCAGATGTCCAGTAGTTCCATCACGTCTTCAACTTGTTAAGGTGAGCGCTCTGGGAAGGAAGGATCCATTCTGAGTCTATATCTTATGACTTGTAAGACATCTTCCACTGGTACATTGGTGAACAAACTAACAACGTCAAAACTTACAAGGTAGTCTTCTTTTTGCAGGTTGATATCCTGTATTTATTTTATAAAATGTTCAGAGTTCTTTATGAAGGAACCTGTGTTTCCAGACAGAGGACTGAGGATCTTATGGAGGAATTCAGCTAATGCATAGCAAGGAGAATCAATAGAACTAACTACTGGTCTAAGCAGGATATCAGGCTTGTGTATTTTTGGGAGTCCATAGAGGTGAGGGGGTTTGCTGAGGTAGGGAGTCAATTTACTTTTCAATGGCGTGGGAAGGACAGTCTTGTGTTTAGTAAGGAGTGTCCATATTTTCCTCTCAATTTGGGCTGTAGGATCCTTGCGTAAAATTTCATACACCCCTGAATCTAGGAGGCTGGCTAACTTCTCCTTGTAAGTAGACTCACTTAACACCACTGCACAGTTCCCCTTGTCAGCTAATACTGTAAATATTTGCTGTATTTGATGGCTGAAGGCAGTAGGTACTAAAACAGTCTATCTGTCAGCCCTTGAATGTTGTATGGAACCTCCCTAGGTCATGCAAGACTCAAACTGATAAGGCTAGTTGTTGATATGTTTACCACATTTTGGTTATGTTTAATCTTGCTGGTGAACATAAAAATGTCAAATTCCAAAGAATACAGTTATCATTTCATCTTCCTTCACAAGTTGCAATTTATTTAATCTGATCAAATCATACTTACATCCTTATATTGCTCAGAAGTACACACTTTTATATTTTCCATGTCTCAGAAGCTTTATTTTTGGAATGAACTGCATGTATTACACCTATGCAAAGTCACACCTCTTTCTTTAATATAAGGGGCAGTCAAATGAAAACGGGTCACCACGCATAACTCACATGGCGCGCAAGTTGGTAACACTGGAATTTGCTTACAGTACGAACATCTGGTGGGGTACCGGGAAAGCACAGTGACAACATGCCGTTGCACACTAGTCATTTGTTTATTGTGCTGAAAGTAAGGTTAGCGCTATGTATGGTCCAACATCAGTAATGGAGGCAGGTAAAGAAGAACTGCGAAGTGTAGTGCACTTTTTGACTGCTGAAGGAGTAGGAGGATGAGAAATTCATCGTCACATGTCTGTCGTTTATGGCAAACACAGCAAGTCATTTTGAACCTGAGAGCAAACTGCAGAGCCAACAGAGGAAACATGTGAATACTCCCCCACCGAAGAAATCCAAAGCTGCACACGTTCCGGTAAAGTGATGACGACGTTCGACTGCAAGGGCCCTCTGCTTGTCAAATTTCTCAAGCATGGGGCCACAATCAGTGTACAGTACCATGAAGACACTTTGCAGAAACTGAGATGTGCCATAAAGTCAAAACGCCCTGGAACGCTACTGAACAACATTATCTTCTTCATGATAATGCGCGCCCCCACACTGCCAACTCTGTGAGGAATATGCTAGATATATTTTGTTGGGAAGAGCTTCAACGTCCCCCCTACAGCCCAGATCTCTCTCCATGTGATTTTCACATTTTTGGAGAACTGAAGAGACATTCGTGGACATCGGTTTGCATTGGACGAAGACGTGTGTGGCTGGGTAAAGATGTGGTTCTGTAGACAGCCCACAAGGGATTGACTGTCTTATCTCCCAGTGGGATAAATGTATTAACAGTTTTGGAGATTACTTTTGAGGTAATAAATGTTCTTTTATATGTTTTGGCCTCTGACCTGTTTTCATTTAACTGCCCCTTATATTTCTGTTGTGCTCCACATGTAATATTCACGTCTAGTTCCACAGTACACTGTTTGCTGAATTCACACTTTTTAAAGAAACTAGTTTTAACATATTGTGACATGTTGTGCAAAGGAGAACCCCCCCCCACCGGCAGTGACGCGGCAGGTGAGTCAGCGCTCCCCTCCCCCTCCTCCGCACGGTAACGTAACGGTGACGCAACAGGATTGTTACGGTAGTAACAGCGGTTACTACCGCTAGCGTTACTAGCAACACAGCGCCAGGCAACAAGGGTGCCTATTACGTGGCCGTTTTCCGTATTGTCCGATCAAGGCTACATAAGGAGCAGCGAAGGCTATTC